TTTGCACACTTCTTTGTCTTATTTTTTCTACTAAAAGATTAATTTGAATCTTGAAAACAATTATATTTCACTTGGGATTACGATAAAAACTTCTGGCAGTGAACGTTGTGGTTGTACCGCTTTAATGCAGAAATCCAGACCACATTAAACTCGTGTAAAAACCCAGAGAGGATTAGCACTTATCAAGGAAAAGGTTTTATGAATATTAAACTCTCGTTTGAGTGTTTTTCTTTGTTTTTTACATTTATATCAAGAGAATAGCAAATGTTTTAGTAATTGCCCATTGGAAATTTCACAGTCCCTAGAACAGGCTGTTTGAGCACAACTTTCCGACTGGTAGCAGAGTAAACATCATGAGTATTTTGTTTCCAAAAAGTTCAACCCACCCTGATTTGATAGCTCTGAAACTGATGTTAACCTTCTGACTAAATCCTGGAGACACAAATTATGCATTCATTAACACATATTTGCACAACTCAGCATGCCATTATCCAAGTGCCACACGCAGTTTCAGCACACGCCGGCCCTTTGATGTTGCGCTTGAGTACATGCAGGTGTGAGGATTGACTGCTTTATCTGCTGTCACTGTATGTACTGTAAGCGTGTTGGCTTGGAGGAACGTGAGCAAGGGCAGAAACCTCCAGTTCTAAGATGCTGCTTTAGGGTAATCCAGCCAAGGCAGATTGTAGACCTGGCGTGTTAGCAGATCTTTAATAGTCAGCTCCATGTCTGCCAGACCTCAGTGCTTAATCACACCGTGTTTTCACAAAAGGTCCAAATGCTGACTCGCTATCATGATCAGACACCTGGGGCTCGCAGGACAGGAAATAAGTCATACTCTACCAGAGCAAAAAAGTCTGCCTTGTGTCTGTGTTATGTAACTGAGTTGCATCTGATCTATCTGATTTCAGTCTCTCTCTATAAACTCCATAAAAGTCATCACGCTGCATATCGAGCAAAGTGAGTCACTGTTGGCGACTCTGAGGACGAATTTATAAGTTCAGCTTATCAGTCATAAAGACAGTCAGCTTGTCAGTCACACAACAGTCAGCCAGGAAAGAGATGCATGACTGATTCATGCTGTATCATTGCTTTGTTTGCAGATGAACTTATCAAAGACAAAACGACTATTTCCTGCTCTGAGCCGGCTCATTCAAATTACATAAACACATTTTCTCACTTTCCGCCTTTTAAGATCTAGATATATGGACAATTTGGCTTCATTATCTTTAAGCCTTTCCTCTCATGTCAACACAGGAAATTTTGTCTGAGAATTTAACGTTTTTTAACTTAATGTGCTATGCCACCCACGTTTACAAATCAAATTGCAGAAACAGTGTAAAATAATTGGGGTATCCAAGAAAGAATAAAACTGTTCCTTCGGTCTTTATAAATAAGTGAACAGTTCTTTGCCTGTTTGGAGCACCATCATTTAACAACAGCATCCTGACAGGTTGTTCCTTTTTCCCTTTAAGTGCGTCTGCAAATCTTCGTAGTTGCTCCTGTGTTTTCTCTCCTGAACTGCTCTCCTTTCCCCTGAGATAAGGACCACTCATATTTCCTATCAGGGACAGCTGATACGAAACCATGGGTGATGCAGGTAATTCAAAAAACACATCGACCCTCTGATACTGGTCACTGAGTGTTGTTTTCCTTATGTAGCTGGGGCCTCCACTTGAGCTTCACTTTCTCCGTTGCCGTGAACATGAAAGGAACATGAAAAGCCAACGCTACCAGACTGCAGCAATTACAACTAAGTGAGTAAATTAATGAGCCGCAGATGAGTCACAAAGAAGCAGAACTCTCAACAGGGATCTGAAGATTCAGAGAGCAGGTGGAGAATATTTTGGAAAGATGAGAATCACGCTTTGACTTGTTTTTAAAGCCTGTTCCATGGAACAGTGTTTTTTTTCTCTTTTCTTTTCCTTTAAAGATTTTTCCTCCACCTGTATTTTACCATATTCTTGCAGAGTTTGCAAGTATTTTCTTTGAAAAGTTCAGTTGCTGGTACCTGATGAAGTGAGCGCGGCCTGTTTCTGTACAGCTTTACATGATGGTTATATGAAGCAGCACAGGATGAGAGGCCAAATGAAAATGCTTCTGACTGGCTACAGCTACCTGGGTAGGGTTATGTGAAGAATTTTGAGGCAGCTGGTGTTTTGCACGCAACAAATAACAGAGCAGTCTATGTTTTTACGATTTGGTATTTCTGAAATGGGAATTAAAGTAGGAGGTACTTACAGTGAGGCCATTTTTTTTTACTCTATAACAGTTTTGAGTAAAATTGTGAGTTTTGAATGCATAATCTTGTGAAAAGACTAATCCAGGGTAGGATGCATTTGTCAACACAATGATATGGAATGCCCTCCCTCAGACGGAGTAACCATCTACTGAATGTGAGCAGCCCACTGCATCTGTTTCACACAGGCCTCGTCGAAATGTTCGGGAAAAAAACAACAAACATTTAGCTCTGTATGCTTCAAGAAATGTCTGGCAAACAGAATCTGACCTTAACCTGTTAAATCACGGCTAGAAATCATCATGCAAGTCCATGTGGTAATCATTTGTGAGGATATCAAAACTGATAAATAAGGGTAGATATTCTGTCAGTGTTTTCCATAAACTGCCAAGTAATCAAAGGGATTTCCTTGTTCAGATACGCTTTCTTGAAAGTACAGACTACCAGGAGCTTCTTAGGCATGATGAAAGTGAAACATATTTTCACTGTAATCTCCATCATCGTAATCTAATACCTAAAAAAAGAAGAAAAAAAGAGAAAAACATAAGAATGCAAAGAGCTGGATGCAGTTTAGTGCTGACCCTCCCTGAGGGTAAAGACCTTCTGAATAAGAGAGGCGCAGAAGAGAAGGGGGGGGGGGGATTCTTTTGGGAAGAATGAGTTATGCAAAACAAATCAATCTCAGTTTCCTTTAAACAAGTTCCCCTGGTACTGTAAGTATCACAGGGTATTTATGGCAGCGGTTGGTTTGGAGCCCTCGCCAAACAAATGCTTTTATGAGGTGTCAGAAAGTTAAATGACATGGGATGAAGTTCATTTGGGTTGTGGGTGGCTGCATATGCCTCGTCTGAGCTCAAAGTCAAGGCTTTAAAAAAGCCACATGGGAGGGAGAGTTAGGCGATGCAGAAACAATAATGATGATAAAAAAAAGCTTCAGCAGCACCTTGGTGGCCTCATCCTTACTCTTTGTTGTCAACTGTGTGTCAAAATATGGCTTCCCCCAAACCTTCCCACAAAGTCGGTCTCTCTTCCCACTTAGCATGAGCCCACTTTAAGGGCAGCATCTGTGCAAAAGCAAAAAATATTCTCAGTAGTGGTCAGCAGGGATTGTCTGCAGGCAAAAAAAAACTAGTTCTGTGTGGGGAACAACACACACAGAACTCTGTAATTCAAAACCAGTCTTACTCTAAGATTGCTTCCACTGTGAGGGAAAAGTGAATGCAAAAAACATATATTCCTCATCTGTAAAGCAAAGAAGGCAGACGTTAGCATTAGATGAGAAGAAGTAATACTGTGGGTTCCAATAATTTTTTTCTCCCCTTTTCCTGTGGGTTCCAATCAAAATACATGATGTAAATGAGGAGATGGCCAACTGTATGAGACCATTCACCATGACCAAGAAGTATGGATCCCACATTATGAAGGATCCATACTTCCCTCAGATGACCTGTGACACCATCTGCACAGCCATTGGGAAGCGCATTCTGCAAAAACAAATCTGCTGGCGTAATGAGATGACTGTTATTACTAAGAAATGTAATTAGTTACATAATAAACTTTTAATATTTACTCAAGAGACTGTTTACTTGTGGGACTTCAGGCTAGATTCAGAAGGACACAAGCCGGCAGACTTAGGATAACAATCAAAAACACAACAGGAGTGACCTCTCAGTGTAAACCAGCAGGGTCATCTTGTTGCCAGACGCGAAATCCAGAGCCACTGGCAGGAAATCCATCGTGTGCTGTTGACATCGTAACTCATCCGTGACAGACAAGGAATAACACTTTTGGAGGGGGAGAGTTTCAGGGGAAAAACATGGAGTCCAAGAAAGACAGGGCGCTGTCACCAGGAAAATGTGATTTTAGACAAGGTCATAAATCTTCAATACAATATTCACTTAAAGAAAAAACAAATGCTAAAAAAGCAGATTTGGCCATTGTTGAAAGCTTTGCCACGACATAACACATTTAAGGCAAAAGATTTCTTTGGATTTCTTTTGAATTTGAATAAACTGTCCTCATAAGATTGGGATTTATTTATAATTACACTTGAAGAATGAATCTAATTCTGTCACAAAATCCATATAATCTGTTATTTTTGTAACTGGTCTATATAATAGGTCATTCAACAGATGTCCTACTGATAAGAAAGCCCCCCTTTTCTTTTAAAACAAGGGCATTGTAATAGGTCTCATTTAAAATGTCCCAAAGCACCTAAAGGATTTCAGGTTTTCTTCATGCACACCATGCAGAACTATAGTTAGTTTTAATATCCACAGTAAAGAGTAAAATGAGACCATAGTTTGTCTTCAGGGGGCAGTGAGGAATAGTAGCTCTGTAAGACTGTGAATTCAAGTACAGCTGGTTTCAAGTTCAAGTGTGAAGCTGACTGCGCTAACAAGAAAGTCACTTAGTATTTGAGCAACATGCTGAGGAGAAAACAGGAATTACTGTTAATATTTTACCGGAGACACATTTCGGATTAATGGATTTGCCATTGAGCCAAATTCAGTGCTGTACAGAGATGTAGTTGGACCTGTGAATCCAGCATTTCTTTTCCCAGACCTTATTGATTTTGGCTTCCTGTCAGGTACTGATATCTGCTCGACACTGAGAGTGCAGACTTTGGGTGCTTCCTTCTCATTCTCACACATATTTGGAGGGGAAATGTGCATTGGCAGGGTGACAAATTTAGCAACAGAAATCTGAACTACTGTGTAAAAAAAAACATTATGCAAGAGAGGGACATTGACCAGAACTCTTGATGCAAATCATCATGGTAATCTCAAAGTTTTATTATGAATAAATCTTATTCGACATGAATAAACAGCCTCTTTACCTCAGAATTATAAACAGTGTTATTTTTTTAATAACAACTAATCTTAAACACATTTTTTTTTTTACATGAGCTTCTTAAGAATCGAGCTCCACAATTAAAGAACAATTGAGGGAAACTCACAGAGAAGCCCACTAAGACTCTTCCAAGCCGAGTCTAAAGACTTGTTGAATGGCTCCACCAAGAGCCTGCCACAAAACCAAAGGCAGAGAATGAGTGGTTTGAGTAAGTCAAACATCCTTCAGAGTGGAAACAAAGAAACATATCACAAAAAAACCACACACACACATACATACACTGGGCAATTGTCAGGATTGCAGAGAGAAAAAAAAGGCCAACCCGCCATACAGAGAGCACCAACAGCATCAGAAACACTTCCTATCACATCAACTTTAGATTATCCTGAGGTGACAGCATCTGATTTTAGCACTTAGAGAAGAATGAGACATCTTGATAAGTAAAAAGCTCTTGGTTTTCTTGTTTTGTTTTTGTCCCCTCAGGTTTTGGTTTAACTCATTTTCAGATGTTTTGTATGTTTAATGCGTTTCTTTGCCAAAATGGCAGGAGCCATGCCAGCTATTATAACTTACCAACTACTGCTCATGTATACTTCTGGATGACTGCACCATACTTAACAGCAACAAAAGCTGTAACTGACCTTTCTGTGGAAAGTCCAAGCCATGTTTCATTATGTGATGTTGAATTAGAATGCAGGCTCTTCCTAAAAGGCATTACTGATAGCAGCCATGAATGTGTCTACAGCTCGCCAAAATATATGAGATAGACATTGAGCTGACTGCCAATGTCAGAATTGCACATGGTCACAAAACAGCCAACTCACAAAAGAAAAATGCTGCCATTTCTAGAAATCGTGGATATGCATCACATCTATGTTTCTCTCATGAACCCCCTCAAAAAAGTCCACTAATCATGCTTTTTTTTAAAACTCTAAGTGTTTTTGGTGCTTATAACTAACCAAAAAGACACAGAATAAATAATAATCTGATTAAGTGCTTCTACAAAATCAAGGATGGATTCTTGGTCAGATGGCATTGTCCAAGTTGTTTCCTTCTTAGATGAGGAAATGTGCATTTGCAATACCATTCCCATCATCCATTGTGCCCCATAAGAACAAGAAATTGTGATGAATGATGATTAATCATTTGATCACACTCACCAAGATGCAGCAAACATAGTGAAAATAAACAAAATTATAGACCAGTCTCACTTCATGTTCTGTCTGCATTGTCCTTTAGATATGAAAAGTACTATGGAGATACACGGAGGTACAGTATCTTTGGAGTCCTTAAAAGATCCTTGACTGCAGAAATTTCCTTTTGTTATATTTCATGACAGGGCATCCTCTAAAGTTAACCAAGTTCCTTCCAAACCTTTGAGAAACAACACTTAGCTTTCACACAGGACCTACAGGAGCACCATCGTCCAGGACAAAACAAAGTGAAGATGGCCGCTCACTGGAGTTAAAGGGGGCTCTACTGGATCAACGTCGAATTGTTTGACTATGCTCATAAAAAAGAGCGTGCTCATTTATGAAGCCAGGATTGAACTTTAAAGACTAATAATCAAATAGGACACATCCTTTACCTTTCGCAAATACATTTTGATTGTTTCTTGGGACCAAAACTGTTATCTGCAGAATACCTAGCAAAACCTCTGTTTGATGGTATGAAGTATATTTGATTCACAGTTAATAGGCTAAAATGTCTGACATGGTGTATAGTTAATCAACTGTTAATCAAACATGGCTTGAAGCAACTAGACTGAATGGTGCATTCAAACACTGGGCTCCCCAATCAGGTTCCCCTTTTTTAGCAGCTGAGGCAAATGCTGTCCCCCCAAAAGGACCAGCTGTTCACACCTTATGATCATTTGAAAAATTGTGGAACATCCAGGGTATTACGTTTCATCCTAACATTACACACAAAAGCAAGAGCACACTGGAGATTTATCAGCCATTTCCATGCAGCACAGGGAAATATTCAAGAGAGTAACATTGTGATCCGTAACATTGCATAAATGTTATATTATGACAATAGATTTCTCCACAAGAGAATAAGAACAGCTGTATATGGCACTTCTTGAGTAAATGAGGAGCTTAAACACCATTGTTAGTTTCACCACATTGTTTTTGTTAGAGGATTCTTTACGCATAGAGAAAAAAAGGTGCATGTCAAGACCACTTGGGAATTACTAATAACGGTAGTCCTGGTCCATGATGGTGATGGAGCTTTGCCAAGACAAAGCAGCATCCAAGAAACCTGCTCATAGAAATGCTAAAGAATTCCTCAGAGGGAGGAGGTTAGTGATAATGTGACAGAATCTAAATGTGCAGTGTGACTTTACCACAGATATATAGTTTTCCACAAATATGGATGAGCATTAACAGAACAAACACAAGTTAAAAAAGATGCACTCCCTGGTTTTATTTGAATCGTTTGAGTAGGAAAAAAAACACAGTGGTGATGTTTTCAAATGAAGCATTTCTTGTATGTGATCAACAAGTGGCAATGTAACTTGATTTGGAAAGATTTAGAGGCATCATTAGGCACTAAAATCATGGAGTGTTTCCATAAATTCTCACCAAACAAGTCACACACACAGTGGTTGCTGACCTGGCACATCTCTGCCCTCTTTGAGTTAGCAAGTGTACATATGAAGCCTTTCATTTTGTGATTAGTTTGAAACAGGAATAAACAAACTCCTAAATAACCGCCGCACAGTGGTTTTTAATCATTGACAAAAGTGAAAAAATCATCAAGTGCAGCTGGTTTATGTAAAAAGGACATTTTCTTCTGAAAGATTTAAAGCTTGTTTTTCAAATAATGACTGCCAAGATTTCTGTCTGTCACATTATTATCTCCTTTACTGACTTATATCCAACAAGTCATGTTGAATATGGAAACACATAATGCAACAGCCATTTCCCACATGTGAAAAAGTGTGGGATTCTCAAAGCATGCGGATGATTTTGTGTTTTCAACTGAGTGCTGACAGTAAGGTGGAAGGTTCCTTTTGTCTGAGTTGACTGCCTTTGCGATCCTAAAAAAGGTTAATAGGACAATTTTATTTGAAACAATGTTCATTATGGATAATTTACTCTTCAAAAGGCTGCTGTTTTTGGGTACATTTATGTGATGTTCTCATCATGGTAGTGATTTTGGCTTGGATTTGTGGCTGTAGTGAGGAAGTCGGTCCAAAAAATGAATTTCCTGAAGTGTTCCTGAACATGTGTTGTAACAGACATAACAGCCACATATCTGTTTTAGTGTAGTGCAACTTGTGGGCCTAAAGATGAATACCATTTAACCTTATGTTAACTATGTCTTTGATTGCTAGAAGCCCTCCTGCGAATTTTTGTGTGAAATAAGTGGAGAAATTCTCAGTGCCTCAACGATTTTTAATTACTAACATGCTTATGTAGTGTAATTTGTTCAAAAATATATATTTTTTGCTCCATTTGGAAAACATTTAAAATAATTCCTCGTTACCAGTTTTCCCCAATGTTTTCAGGTAGATGCTAATTTTAAAAAGGGAAATAGATTTCAGACTGGATGGACAGGGGTACTTTTTTCCCTTCAGGATCAAATTTCAACCAAAATGTCAAATAGAAATGAACTCATATACTAAAGTCTGGAGATGATTCATTTGCATCATCCACATGGCACAAGAGATTTTATCCACCGAGCACAAAAAGGAGACCAGCCCAGTTTCCCTGATTAGCTAGCGTGAGCGCTATGGCAACTGAGCTTTTACTGAAGTAACCTACATAAAGGAAGAAAAAACAAATCGTTCCTGTTCAGAGCTGAACTGATCAGCTGACCTTCAAAAATAAAATGTATACTCCTGAAACAAGTGTTTGTGGCAGTCAAAGTGTTGGCTTCTGTGCATAAAAAACAATGAACATGATTTTCACACCGCAAATATTGTATCTACATGAAAGAACAGCAGATTGAAGTGAAGACAATTCCATATGAGACGTTATCTAAAAGTCAGATGAAAACAGTGTTATAATAATTAGGAACCCAGCTGAGGTAAATGAAGGGCAAGAGCATGTGAAGTAATAATTTAGCATATTTTACAGGGAAAATATCCAAAATGTAGCCCTCTATTATTTTCTAAACCCCTGGGATAGCCTGAGGCTGTTCAAACTCTTTCACTGATGAGATCAAGTTGGATAAAGTTCGGAAGCGACCAATCAAAATCAATCTCTGGATTCCTGTCATCTCAGTTGGTGGAAACCATTGAAGAAATACAGAGTTTTACAAGGAGGCCTTTCTCAGGACTCAAATCTTTATCTTCTTCTCTTGTAACCTGGTGAAATCTCTTAGAGAACCCCCCTCAATCTAAACAAATCATAGAACGTTATGGTAGAATGTGGAATTCTCAGGTTTTTATCTAAGTTAGAACCACTTCTTGTCATTTGCCTTCATTTGAATGGCAGCGCCGCATGCTGGTAGCCATGTTAGCAATCTGGAGGGAACAGAGATACAAGGCTGGATCACATTGTTCTGGGGTCATGATGGGATGGCGTGGTGTCTGGAGTCAGTCACAACCCAGAACAACACCAGCTGAAGGGCCAGAGTTAGCCAAACAGAAGGAGTCAGGCAGGCCACACCACCACAGTCGGGATCCTCCTCCTGGGATCAAGAAAAGGAGGAGAGGATTGGAAATTACCGGTTGTACAAACCCAAACTCATACCTTGAACTGTTGCTGTTTTAACAGAGATAGGGACTACGGCATGACTCTCAGAAAGTTAAACCTGTGTTAGTTGTGAATCTTATAAAATCTACACTAAAAATTTAATATGCTTAGATGGTGATTATGATGTAGATTTCTATCATACTAAAAACCAGAAACACAAAAACAGTTGTTAAAGATTGTGCTTAAAAAAGTCTTCCATTGTGTTGAGCTGACTAGCGCACCACTGGTTTAAAAGATGTTCACACAGGGATGTATTTAATCCGACTTGTCAAATGCATCATTGCCACTGTGTAAAGCTAGCAAATTATTCCAAAACACAACATTAAAAAAATTGATGAAAAAATCTAAATTTATAGTAGTTATGAATGTGTTATGTAAAAAACAAGTGCTATTTAGAAGCAAAGAAATAAAAAACTCACAACTTTGCAAAAACTGAGTAACCCTACACATTCAAAGATATCTCCAGACAATAGGCCAAATGGAACGATACAGGGATCAAATAGATGGTAAAGAAAAAAAAAATCTAAATTAATTTTTATATTTAAGTGTAAAACTTTGAGCCATTATGTATACCAAAAACTGATCTTATACCCTATGTATGCTTGGCATGTGGAGGAGTAAGATAAATACTACCTTTTTTTTGGCAAAGAGAAATAAAGTTGAGAAACATTAAGAGAGACACATGAAAATTTGGATGTAAATGAGAAGTGAGTGATCTGTTTTTGCTAGCGGCTGCATACATCAGTAGTCACTGGAGACACTGGAGCCTCTCTAGCTGGAGAGGGATAATGATAGATGGGGAAAGATACAAAGAGCATGACTTGAAGTTCAAAGTCAGGTAGGATGGAGAAAATGTTGATGAAAGACAGAGACAGGGAGGTGAAGTCAGACAGTGGGATAATATGAAAGAGTGACAGGTGATGAGGAAAAGTGTGGGAAAACAATGAAAAAAGGCATGAAGTAATGGAAAAAATATATTTTACATTAGAAGGATATAAAAGTAAAAAACGATAGAAAACCTATACGCCAAATGCATTTGGAGTGTTAGATGATGATAACAATGTTAATGGGAGACAGAGAGCTATCGTTATGGGACTGACCCGAGACAGCACATGAACAGTGGCAGCAGTAACATGAGCGGAGAGGAGGCCAAAGGGGAGCCTGCGCTCCTGCTGCATATGGCCTCATCCTAACCATCACCAGCCAATCAAAAAGCAGGAAAAAGAGAAAACAGAGAAAGTAAATCATGCAGCGAAAAAATATTTTGAAATAAAAAAAAAAGATGCAGAGAAATGAGCTCAAGTAGACAGCGTTCCAAAGTTAAAAAAAGAAGAATCGGTGAGTGGGTGGCTGTTTGCATGTGAGATAAACAGAACAGACAGAGTCCTGACGTTGGAAAAAGACTATAGAATGAAAACAAACAGATCATTCAAGTAGTGAGGATTCACACGCAAAGATTGTGCGCCGCTTAAAAAACTGTTTGTTTGGCTTCGTTATTCATAAGTCGAGGAATAACCGGCTGTTTATCTTTGCATGGGAAACCTAGGCACAGACAGCTTTTGAGGGAAAAGAAAATGAAGCGACATGCACAATGTAAATATATTAGTGATGGGAAGGTAACGTGAGTGGGATTTCCCTGCTCATATTTTGCACTGTTTACACCATGAGAGCAGCTTAAGGATTTTGGTTTTTGGTCAGTGTTTCAGAGCTAAAACGAAATCCTGGTCTCTGATTTATTGCTATTTAATTTGCAGTTACAACCTATTATTTTCCAAGACAAAAAAATAATATAGCAATCCTAAAATACCCTTGAGGAGATCTATGGTTTACCAAAATATAAACTATTTAAAAACAACCTAACACATTTCCACATCTCGCTTAATCTAAAATGTATTTTCCCATCATTCAAATCTGCTCAGCTGCAGGTTTTGTAGTTGAATTTGATGGCCATTGGTTGATACAGATCATGTCACTTGGGCCACTCTTTCAACACTCCTGCATCAGCACCGGATCAAGTGATTGTGTGGAATTTGAGTCTAGAAAACTCCAGAGATAACCACCGAAATATATCACCTGAATCTGCACTTTCACTCAGCTCCGTGGCAAGTTCGAGAATCTTTCAACAGCTTGCGAATTACTGCCTTAGTACACCTTAACTGCTCTCAACTGTGCTTTTTCCAGTAGCATCAGTTATCTGTTTTCAGTGGAAAAGTGCCTGTAAAGCTATTGTTTATGTACCTATCCTGTTCCAATCATTTTGAAATGCATCGCTCGCATGAAGTAGAAAAACACCATTTATTAGAGAAGATCTCTCAAACTGCTTTTTTTCCCAGTGATATGTAGGAGCTCCTCCACAGAACAGTCAACAAAGTTATTATTGTCAATAAGAGGTAATAGAGATCTGATGAAACTGACTTACATGTTCGTTGTTGTCAAAACAGACTGCAGGCCCTTTCCTGTAGCGAGGGTTGAGAGCCGTAATGCAAGGATCAGGCCCGTCAGCTGTAAGTGCCGAGTCAGGGGAAAGACACAGCTTAAGGGTCACTCTGAATCTACTGGAAATCCTTTCTAATCAAACTGATGAAGTGTTTTTGTGCTGAAAGCGACTATCATTGGAATTGTCTCTTTTTGGGTCATGAACAGATTTCTCCGAGAGGCATCATCTATCAGTGAGCGCAGCCATGTGTGTTTATGAAAGTCCATCATTGATTTGTTTGTATGCTATTCAGAAGACAGATCCCACACGACCATGTGCTCAACAGGAACAAACAAAGACCCGCGCGGGGAAGCATGAACTCTGAGCCAATATGTGGAAATTGAGAATGATTTCTGTGGATGCATATGAGAGAAATGAAGATCACGACTCACTAGTAATCTTATGAAGCATCTGCTTTTGGTTGAATTTCATAATTAGGCTCTGTTCATGGGGCTGTCTTGTCAAAAGCTCTAACTTTTGTTGCATCTGTTAGCTGAATCAAATGCACATATTCCGAGCCAGGTGGTAGGAGTGTTTGGTAAAAGGATACATGGATGTTCCTCCTGTATTAATGGGGTTGAGAAAGAACACGTGCAGAGGTCTTTTGGGTCAGTAATGATAAAGACCAGGTTCGTCTTGGGCAGCTTTTCAGCATGGTAGGCCCTGGAGAGGAGCAAAAACAGAAGAGAGTCGAGAGAAGTTTGTTAACGCATGGGCTGCAATCCAGGAAAGATAGAATTTCACTAAAACATGCTCATATGAGATGCAGGAAGTTGAATATTTTAGCAGAAAGCATCTAGGGGAGGATACGATGATTCTGGTCTGGGCTGCTTAAATATACTTTTTTCTTTAAATGGCTGCTTAAATTCACAATATATTTCTTCCACATGCAGGACAAACCTCTGGAGCTTTTCAGTATTTAACAGAAGAACAAGTTGCTAACACAATGCACACTATTAAACCATGCAACCAAAACTCTACACATTTGTCCCTAAAGGGACACAAACCCGCTGTGCTGCCCAACTGTCCACCTAAATGAAACCCACCACAAATGATTTTCTCAGCTATTTTATGGAGGTTGTTAAAACGAAACGTGTGCGAGGCTAATTTGCTGAAACTTTGCCCGGCATGCGAGCGGCCTTCCATTAGCAAGGCATGAAGGGGCTTTTAAAATCTCTATGTGAAAATAGAAAAAACCCAGAAAAACGTATATACCCTTATCACACGCCCTGACATCCAGAGACAGTGGTCCACGGCAGTGATGTGACTACCATGGCAATTTAAGTTTTACAACCCCCTCGTAGTGCTACTGTTTCTGGATTCATCTCTTTCTCATTGATGCATTTTCTTCTTTATACAATTGAAATTGCATACAATTTGCCAAATTATTTTACCTGGAACAGTTTCCACACTCGATCATGCCTTTAAAAGTTGTGGTGTCTGTTTCAAAGAAGAATTGAGTTTGCTCTGTGATGCATGCTTCTTTATTCCCTGAAGCTGACACTTCCTCCTCCATTTCAGCTGTACAAGGAGAGGAAATCACATTAAATTAAACCCTTGTTAGGAAACATCATCCATATCAAATACACATGCGAATATAGATTAGTCTCTCTAACATAGTGGCACCAATATCATGGTTCAATAGGTGGAACTGAATCTAAATGAATGTCAGAACTTCACATTATCAACAATAAGTAATTCAGACAGGCCTGTAAACTGCATATCTGGGTCTGCCAATGTATGGTCTAAGAGTAAGTAATATTACTGACTAGTTTTGTTAGAATAAACATTACGGACTAAATGTAGCAGATAAAAAGGCTAATTAACCAGCGATCTCCTTCCGTAGAGGGTTGTGTGGTGTTTTATCTGTCAAAACATTTAGCTTAAATGTGCAACATGTGAAAGTAACAATTTGACTAATCTTTACCAACTCAGTACATATTCCAGCTATGTAGCAAGCTTTGCACCAGAGTCTTTAAAAAAAACAATTCATTTAAACTTTAAACTTTAAACTACTAAAACTTTATGACTTCCAAGACAAACTCCAATTGCACGGTTGAAAAGGTGCATTGTTTTCTAGGTGTCACATTAAGGAGAGCTCACCCGCATCCATAAAATTGGGGAATGTGATGCTGACCAACAACTGTTGCACTATTGACCTGAGGACAGAAAACAAACAACCAAAAGATTTAAAAATGTCTGGTTTTGTTGGAACATAACGCACACAATTTTCTGTCTGAATGCAAACCTAAACCAAAACTTGACTAACAACACGTGTGCGACTTAAAGGCTGCACTATGACTTAAAGGCTTATTTTAATTAAAAACATATCAATGTGCGCTTTGATTCAGTGAAGATAACCATATTGTCAGTGTCCTCAAAATCCAGTTTTATTGGACATATTGTAATACAAGCTGTTGATGACATCAAGACAGTGAAACTGAGTATAAATCAAGAGAAGATTTTGTGGAATGTTGTCTGTCTTGGGAACAATTTAGCTATTAAACAGATGCTATACAGTATGTCCATTTGGAGGAACGAACCCTTCCCTGCTTTCCATTAAATACTGGGTTGAAGGATTTACAGCGCTGGCTTTAATAATGCATAAACGTGTTCTTTATCACAGGGGGAAAAAATTGGACAACTCTAATGGCAACCACGTTATAAAAGTAAAATAAAAAAGAACTCACCAGGCTGCAGCTGTTGCCCACCATCCTAAACTCAGAATATCGGCTATTGTGGGCTGACAAATACATACAAAATGAGAATAAATACAAGAGAATAGGGACACCACATCAACAATGGAAAGTTTAACAAATCATCTTAAGTTGTGCTGGGCCAATCTGAACATCCTGTTTGTGTTTACAGTGGACGGAGACGCTTGAGTTTTGCCCGCCACAGAGACCAACAGGTCCAGCATAAGATTTCATTTTTCTCTCTTCTCTGAGGAAATTAGAGCACAATCCTTTTCAACAGATGTGAGGGTAAATATGTAAACAAAGAGCCAGTGAGAAAACAAAGTAGCACACGGATTGAATAAAAAGGCTGGACATGCTGCTATGATTATGGCTAGCATGCGAGGGGCTTGTTTTGAAGAATCAGTGCCATTTTTCTTGCTCCTAAGTCGATGGCGGATTGAATCATCAAGGAGATTCAACTAACCGTGTTAGAGGTATCCCTGGCTGTTGACAGCATCTTTGATCAGAGGAAAACAGCATCTTTCATCTTACCTCGGTCACTTAAGTGTGTTGTACACATTCAAGCTGAAATCGGGAAATGACGCGGTTTAATTGGTCCATCAGTGAGAGAAATTTTGTAAATAGTTACGGCTACTTCTGTTATATTTTTTTATAGAAATGACTTTATCTGTTCCTCAAGCCTTTCACCTTGAGTACGTCTGTTGTTTGCTGGCAATCTGCATCATTTCATTCAAGTGATGAAAAACAGTCCTTTTTATCTCCATCGCTCGGTGTGTTGCTCAAGCACATTAGACCACCTAATCCTGTTACCGTTACTGCAACTCTCACTCTAACGCTTTCACCATACCTTCTGCTTCCCCTCTCATCTGCCATATCCAGATTTATGGCTCCCTGGCCAGGGACAGTTGGTGTGTATGTGTAACCATTTGGAGGTGTGTGAGTAAGCAGGTTTGAGCATGCGCTCACGTTCATGTCTCTGCTCTGCCCAAGCATTTGTATGGATATCGTAAGGTGTGAACAGGGCTTTCCCTGTGTGTGTGTGGGTGTGTGCATCCATATGTGTGTGTGTGTGTATGGTTTCTGGCTTATGTAACTCACCACGTAGACAGATCTTGGGCCTGCAGCCGTCTTGATTTCTGTTTTGGGGTCACAGAGCGACTGGTAGTCATAAGTGCTCTTGGAGGTGAACAGGGACTCATTGACCAGGGTTTTCATGAGGACTGGGTCAATAACTCCAAAGAAACGCCCAATCTGAAGTGAGGAGAGAGAAGAAGCTAATAAAAAAATGGTTTTGCTGCAGCCTTCAGGGTTCACGGCACTGATTTTAAACAGCAGAAACATGTATCCTAACAAGAACTGAGACTTGAAGACTGTGTAAATCTGCTTCAGGCCCTGGAGGCAAAACCTACCAGTGTGTGCCTGACCTCACAATTTCATAGGGGAAATGATTTCACTAACAAAGGCCCATTGAGAAATTTTTCAACTCTCTGTACAAGCAAGAAAAAAACCTCTAAAATGAATAAAATAGAAGCAAGTAATTCTGGAGTTCCACAATAATTCTTATTTACAGAGTGCTTAACTTTTTTTATAATCTTGCACTATGTCAGTAAAGAATGTCTACGAGTTGCAAAAATATTTAACACTGATGATAGACTTCAGCACAACATGATTAACACAGTCCACCAGGCAGTCATAAATTTCTACATAGAGGAAGTGGTTTGTCCCTACATCTCTGAGGTGTGACATGACCGTGTGCTTGGAAGTGGTTAAGCACTTGTGTATCCAGGTGGGAACGCGCACATGCTGCAAGTATCTAGTTGAGCATGGGCTGGTGCATATGTGCGTGCTTTAGGAAATGCAAGCTATCCTTTTCCTTCCACTTTGTAAGGTCACTGTTAACAAGCGGCCCTCCACATACCCATTCCCTTTTCTTGCCAAAGGACATATAAATCTTCCAATCTATAATGTAAAAGGACCCGTCTCCTCTTTCCCTGCGCAGCAACACAAATAATGAATTAACAGTCACAGCCCTGCTGGCTGCAGACTCCCCGAGGGTTTTTGGAGTAAGAGAAAGAATGAGACAGAGGGAGAGAGACATAAAGAGAGAGAGAAACTTTGCTCCTGTAAGTAATATGATTGAGGGTGCACAACCTTTTCCAAACAAGGTTTCTGGGTTTTAGTACTGCTGCCAAACATCAGAGGGCAACTGATTTATCCAGCACACACTCAGCCCTGATTAGGGAGGAGGTGAAGCTGCATGAAAAAAAAACATTTACTCAGATGACATCAGGGGCCCAATATAAGCATTAAACATGGAACAACAAGGGGAAGAAGAGGGCCTGTTTTCAGACTTTGGGTTTGTGGATCTAGGAAATAGGAAATGATGGGTTGAATTGCATTCAAGAGCCTTCCTTAGTTCAACTGTTTTGCTACTGCAGCTTTATAGATTTTACTTATTAAACTAAAACATCAGTCTCTAATCATATTGTATAATACAATTTAATATAAAGTATAGTAAACCCATACGGGTTTAACCAGAAAGCACAGATCTTGTGTCGCAAGTGGATTGTACCAAATTATGATTGAACTTGTCTGAACTTGTCCTATCGTGCCCTGAATAAGACATCAACTATTGATTTATTAAAACAAATCAGGCCACCGTAATATACAGCCCTCAATGTAAAGGAGCTACTCCAAAAGGGGACTTCTGTCAATCAGGAATAATTTAAATATTCAGCCAGCCCTTTAAAAGACTTGAACATGCATATAAAGTACTTTTAATAAGCAATTGTATGTAGTTTAATTTTTCACTATACCTAAAGATAGAAAAGTGTGTTTTTGGCTTATAAACAGTTTAAATTACAGAATAATTCTACCCCCCCCAAAAAAACATAAATTACAGAAGCAAATTCGGTAACAAAATTGCTATTTTTGTATCTTAAATCTAACTAAAAAAATCAGTGCTCACCTGACTATTGTATTCATCTTGATTGGACATCACCAGGAATCCTCCATCATCCAGAATGATACAGTCTATAAACTGAAATCACAACAAGGGGTTCCATTTTATTTTGAATCAATAGAAAAATAGGTAAAAGTGATTAAATATATAGTTAAATCACTCACTTTGACAGTACCACAGCCACAGATCTCCTCTTTACACTACAAACACAAAAGAGTAGAACAGACACCAATGTCAAAGTCAGGACACGGTTCAGCACGTGTGCTTGTGTGAGTCAACTGGATAAAATCTACTCACATTCATCTTGGTTGTAATGTTAATTAAGTTCTCCTTCCATATATCGATGTCCAACTTCACACCAACCACTGGGATAAAACACAAACGCTAGACGTCATTGATCATGTTCAAACTCTGCATCAACTTTACACTCTGATCCTGGAAAATGCAAACTTGGCTCCAGATTACAGGCGACAATAGACAATGTGATGTGTGGTTTGTGTGCCTGTGTCTGACAAACAGGGAGAAACAGACAAACAAAGTGGGGCAAGAAGAGGGACGGTGAGGTTTGAACACAATGTGGATCTGTAAATAAGTGTGAATGTGTTTGGTGTGTGGGGCAATGAGGGATAAACAACTTGGACATCAGAACATTCCTTACCAGCTGGTTTGAGTGTGATATCGTCAATCTTGAGGTTTACAACTCTACTCACAAGGACGGAGTTATCACTTTCTGCAAGACAAGACAGTTCATTTTTTATTAAAAGCAAATAAAAGCCCCTGATCAAAAGCACTTGTTATAAATCACCTTGATCATAAAGGCTGCTGTTCTCTTTCTGTTTATTGAAGGGTTTTGGAGTGAAGATGTACAAATCGTTGTCCAGACTCCTCTTATAGAAACTTGACTCGTATGTTTCTGCTTCCTCTGTCCATTCCAGCCCAGCACTATCAAATATTTAAGAACACATGCAAATAACATCGTTATGAAGCATTTTCTTATTAAAACACATCAAATCTGTGACGCTTGGTGTACTTGGTGCAATTAATTACCAACTTTCAACAGCTAATTCAACCCTCTAGTCTCTTTTATGAGCTTCAAATATTCATCTTTTGCTTTTTCCCGTTTTAAGTATCCATTTGTTGTTATTGTTTATAATCATTGCTCCAGAGGTCACTGCCTTCCTTTTACTCAACATGAACCTGCTCAGTCTTGAGACCTTTAATTACCCTGAACCCCACTCATACAGCATACTAAACAAAACAAAACAAAATAAAAAAAATGATTCCAGATTTCACATATCACAGAATGATGAAATTAGATATTTTTTCAAACTATTTTTTTGAAGTATTAATTCCGAAATAAAAATAAAATACAATTTTGTCTTTAAGGTGTCTTTATGTGTAGGTGTTGATGACAAATGTGTTTTTTTTGTTCAAACGAACTGAATAAAAGAACTTGCAGGAAGGAGTAAGTGATGACTTACTCCACACACATTTTGCAGCTTTGAATCATTCTGCTTCATTATTCTCTATCAAATAATTCCTTTGTACTTAATGAGTTCCCCTTATCATCGTTTTAGTAATACCTTTTCGGGAAGACGCGAGTTATCCCTCCATCGGTGGCAACAAATCTGGCCACCACAATGTTTCTGAGAACCAGAGAAAATAAAGCTATAAAACACACAGTTACAAAAATCTGGAATGTGCTTCATGCATGACTGACATTTACTGGTAATGCTGAGATGTGAACCATAAGTACAACCAAACGCCAGATAGTGGGGATTAACTTACTGTACTTCATTCTTTTTCCAGATTTTAATCAGATCTGAGGTGATGCCAGCATCCAGGAGCAATCTGTTTACCAGCTCCACATCACCTAAGCAGCAAAACATAAAGTGAGCCCAAAATACTTCCTATAAAAAATACATTTAAAATAGGAAGTGGGAGATTCTACTTTACAAACTGAGATTGTAAAAGCCTGTGATAAAATGTAATTTGGCAAACTGTGACCATCATTCTGTGGATCGTGCCCTCTGATCCTTTCCCAGGAGTCACATTCCATAACACGATGAAGGCTGGTAAAGCAACCATAAGGTCACTCGGCATGTTTGTGAGGGCATGTGATTTTTTCCTTTCATGCATTTATCCACGCATTTGCTCTACCCACATGTAGGGCGGGGGGGGGTTGAGCCTATCCCAGCTGTCATTCAAATCCGATCAAATGAAAAAGTCCGCTGAAGGATGATTAGCTCTACACTGATGGACAAATTGTCCACTGTAATGCATGATTATTACAAGGGCAAATGAAGAAAAAATACAATTTTTTTTTTATTTAAAATGTCATTTGGAAGCAACCTTTGAGTCTGGAATTTTAGATAATAGGAACAAATTGAATATGAAGGATAAATAATTATAAGCAAACAGTATTGTGAATAAAATAATGGCTAAGTGTTAGGAGAAAATAAGAAAAATAAAATAAAGCAGACAAATAAAGAACAAGAGTTACAACCGTGAGATTGATATTATGAAGCATTGACATCACAATTTAGGAATCCAGGGTGAATGGGCTTTAGTGAATATATCGCAAAACTTACAAACACCTTAAAGTTCAAATGTTAGCAGTGCTGAAAGAAGAAAATTGTAACAATCTGAAAGTATAATAATCTTTTTTCATAAAGGACGTTCTTTGAAGAGAAGATTGTGACTGAAAATAAGAAACAGACACGTTCTTAAAACCCCAAAAAAATAAAAATCTCAACTATTTTCCGATGATGTGGAATAGGTGGTAAGGTGGTATTGGTGTAAAAATACTTTCACAGACGTCCGACAAGACCACATGAAAAACGCGAAAGGCGATAAAAGTCGCCCGTCCATTTTTTGCCCGTGCTTGCCTCTTTGAACCCTCTGAAGACCCACTTCAGTCCATTAACATTGAGGCTTGTCGATGCACCCCCACCACCCTCTCCAACTCCAACCTTTATGACACACCACACACATCAGAGAAAACAGCTGGTTTAACACTTTGGTTCCTCCTACCTCACCTTCTCTCCCTGTGCAGTGGTTTTCATTAGGGATTCTTTATTGAAGTCAGCCAAGGAATTCCTAATGTACTTCTCGGCCACTGCAGTGGCTTAAACACGTAAAAGTGTGCAACAATGCCCGAGTCACCAGTACTCTTCAAGGACCATGCTACTCTCTCTCTTTGTCCCTCTGCTTCTTGGTTTTTCTATGCACTCCATTAAAGTAGCAGCTAATAATGGTGAAAGTAATATTTCAGTTGGGTGAACAGTTTTATAGGATCGATCTCGTTGAGACGTTTGAAGTTAGTCCTTAAATGCAAACCATCAAAATAAACAATGGAACCTTTCAACTGAGTCCTTTTCATGAATATCTGGGGGCCTTCGGCCTTGCTTGACACCCCTCAACAAATGAGTGATTCATATCAATGAGTTTATGCAAAAAATGGCAAAGATGTTAATGCATTGGTCAGATGTCAGGGAGAAGGTCCACCGGCCCCAGATTTGTGTTTTATTGCTCTGCTTGTGCTGTTACTTTGACGTGTCCTGCTCTTTCTCACAAACACACAGTAATTGGAAGAGGTCGAGCGGCTATAGGTGGGGTGTGGAAGGCATATTGCTGGCGAATAATGTGTGTGCGAGCAAGTGTGTGTGTCACATCTAAGCCGACGTACTTCACACATGTGCAGCCAGGCGTGTGATGGTCAGACTTTTAGAGTTAGCATCAAATGGGTGACATGAACACAGGGGTTCCACATTACAAAGCTTTGCCTGGTCATGCACACCAAACCATCCAGCCAGGCCTGTATTTCAATGGAAAGAGAGCCCTATGGGAATAGGCTTTGGTTGGCACTCTTCCATTAAATTTTCAATGCACACCTTGATGCTCAGAGCCAGATGGCCGGGATTTATTCACTTAAACATGCTAAAGAAAATTCTCTGAGGCTTAACAGTATTTTCACATGCAAATAAGAATGTGAGGTGAGAATGAGGGAGGTCTAAGGAATAATACAAGTGGATGTAGTATAAAAATGTTGTTCTCAAGGGCAGCAGGGGGACTTAATAAGGCAGAGAAAACTTCAGGAGCAGATACTCACACATTGGGTTGTTTGGAGTCTTTGTGTCAATGTAACTGTTAAACTCCATCAGGAACTCGGTGTTGTCTGTGTTCATGTTGGGAGGATTCAAGTCCTTACAATACATCCTGAGTGATATGAATTAGACAGTCAAAGGCATCAGATCATGAGTAAATGAAGGTGCTAAGATATGTACCCACATGTCATCTTACCTTGGTGCAATGAGTGTGTAGCCATATTCATCAAACTTGTCGGCCATCAGGCTTTCTGAAACTGGTTAGTATAAAACATGACGTCATTAAGCAAGTTCAAACTCAGAGGATGTGTGCAGATTATCAGAGTGTAACACCTAATGAATAGTTAATGCAGTACTGAGGGGTTGTGTGAAGGTCTTATGAGCAGTCTGTGTTTTTTTAGGGCGCTTCTGGTTAAGTTAGAATCAAATTTTGGACAATCTAGTAGGATTAGGCCCTGGTCTTGCTTGTTTTTAACTAGTTCAAATCATCCATCACAGATTAATAAATAAAGCAATTCTGTAGTGATTCTGAATCATTGTAAAAAAAAGTGAATCAGTGAAAACACACAATATACTGTAGCATAAGCTCAAGAAGCCATGACACGAGTGGTTTGGGTTTTTTCACTTTTTGTTGCCAGCAGGACACTGAGTATGAACAAAGACTTCACCCAATACCCTTTGAAAAAATATGAAGTCATTTTTATTGCACTGCCGACAACCTTTAAATTGTGATGGGTCAGTCTTCATAAAGATGAAGCATGACATAAATGAATGAATCAGAATCTACCTTTACCACAAAACTGGACAAACTGAACATTTTCTTTTCACAGACAAAACTGCTGAAAATCAGGAATTTATAAGAATTTAAACAGAGTTGGCACGACTTGTTCAGTAAAAACCTCAACCGGGATCAAAATCAGGAAAAAAAACAGGTGAAGGTAAAGAATTTAAGTACTTGCCATCTTTCCCTGGAGAAGAACAAAAATCCCAGAGCAGAGAAAATGAAGGAACAGGAGAATCATCCCCCAGGGAGGAAAAGACGAGAGGAAAAAGAAAGGGGAAAAAAGACAGGGTAAAACCACAGAGGTCAAAAGTGACAATATTTTATTCACAGAGCAAGCCCTGAATATAAATATTGTGCTATGAATAAAAGGTTGTGGGGCCTTTGGATGTAGATGTAGATGGTGCTAATGGAAATCACAAAGGGAGACTTAGAATGCGGTTAGAGGATAGGTTTGTAGTGATTGTATTAGCATCCTTTTGATGACAGTCATTCTCTGTAGTTACTACTTCTGTCATGAATTTAGTTTATGGCAGAACAAAGTGGGCAAAATCAAACACCCTAATGCCCCTTTGACATTCTCTAAAACACACTGTTTTGACTGATTACACTTTACAGCTAAATTTCTCACGACCAAATGGCTGCTCCTTGTCCTCTTCAGTAGTCATGGTTGGGAAATAATTGGACCCTTGTGAACGTCCTTTGATATGATCCACTGCTAAATAATCCAACAAAAGTATCTAATAATGATGGATAGCAGGAGTTGTGGAGAGAGAGAGGCAAATACATTTCCCATACTCTCAAAATGCAAAGTTAAGTCAATTAAATGAGACAAATCAGACTAACAATGAAATAGAACCTGCACAGGTTGAGCAAAGGAATGATAAATAGGTGGGGAAATTTAGAAAAGAAAAGTCTTCATCTTCATTGAATTTTTAAATTGACATTTACGATGTATGTATTTGTAAAGTAATAAAAACAGACACGAAACAGGCTTCAGTTTCAGAAGAACCACTGAGCCTAACAATGTTCTGCACAGATTTTTGGGTCAGTGCCCACAAGTAAGATAAAACCGATGACAAAGCGCACAGAAAGAGACAGCTGAGATCAAGCTTAATGTGTTGAGAGGGACCCTGTCTTTCATTAGGAGTTATTTAACAAGGTTGTAAAACTCCGAGTGAGTCAAAAATGAGAAAACTGAAGAAAACAAAGTTAAAAACCAACTCATGTTTTGGGCACAGACTCACAGCTTTCTCCTTTATGGCTTCACCTTTAAATAATGCAAACATCCTGTTCCTCTGTTCTTCTTGCTACAGTGGGCTTGTGCCAAAACCACATCTGAGGGCCATCAGAACAGGTGGGGCGGTTAACATGTACATGCACTCAGGCACACACACGCACCGCCTGAGACGCAATGGGTGGACGCATTGCATGCGAAAAGCTGCCTCTGAGTGCAAAAGCTGGCTTGATTCATTATGAAAAAACCCATTATTAATCAGAAGCCCATAATTGAGGATAGACACATAATGAGAGAAAAATGTTGCAGCGTTTGTGTGTCTGAGACTCCCCACTGTGTGAGTCATGTGAGAGGTGAAGTTACATCCAAAGAGGGGTGGGTGGTTTTAAGGTAAGTTACAGGAGGAGAATACTTGCCCAAAAATGCTGTAGAATGGTCCAACACAGTAGGGACAGTCAGAGTTGAGGAGGACAGATGGAGGGTTTAAATTGGAAGGAGGAATTGGAAAAGAAAAAAAGCAAACAGAATTACACAATATTTTATTCAAAGATATGTTGAATAGAAATATTGTATACGAGAATAGGGAACACATAAAGAGTAGGCAAACACAGTAAGGGGTGGGATCTCAGATGAGATAGGTGCATCTGATACTGACATCACAAAGGAAGTTCAGTTCATTTTGGGCAGAAAATCTACAGCTGATTTTCAACCAGAATGTGGCTGCACCTCATAGAGTGATCACAGTAAGTTTCCAGTAAAATTAGTCAAAATTCTAAAAAAACATTTTTTTTTTCAAGCAAGTCAGTGAGTATAGGTTCTGTTGTCCTTCAGGAAGAAACACATGAAGATAAAGCACAAACACAAACAAACACACATTCTTGTTTATTTTCTGATTTTCATATCTAAATTTCTTAAAGGACAAAAAGAAGGTTAAGCAAATTGTGAAAGAATGTATGGCTAAAAACGTAAACATCTTTTGTGAAATGACAGGGATTTTCCGGATGATTCCCTTTTGTAATCTACTGTCCTGTAGATTATGAGCTTTAACAAAAACAAAACCTTCAGTAGTCCGTCCAGACACGTTTCTTAAAGTAGTTGCAACTGCAATCCATTAAGTCTCAGAATATTAAAAAAGCCGAATGGGCATGTATCCAAAGCAACAGGTTATTTCATAAAGTTTGTGTCATACATACAAAGCCTAAATTAACACAGCATGTAGGAGATCCACAAACGTTTCTCTAAGGTGGTCTAATTGGGGACAGATACATCTTAATGCCGCGAATGGACTCAGATATCCATACCGAATAAATCCATCCTTTGAGTAACACTATGAGATGACACATTTTAATAGAGAGAACAGAAAGAGCTTAAAAGAGACATGAGATGACGATACCATACATATGGGCCCTCTGATCCTGTGTGTCTAAGCCAATAGGACTAAGCATGAATGCACAATTTTCCATTTGTTGACATGTAGGCCCACAGATTGAGATACTTAGCTCTGTATGAGATCTTATGTGTTAAAGGGGACCTTGGAGCCAACTGTCTCACTGTCTGGTGACACTTACTTTAAACAGAACCACAACTGAGGGTATGTTTTGCTTTACCCGCACATGCAGCAATGGTGTAGATATACATGGGTGTCCATTTATAATTGTGTGGGTGTGCCATAAGTGATGGATAGGAACCATAAGCTGGGACAAATGTAACATTAGCAGTCGTTTTCCACCCAGAATCATTCGTCTGCTGCCTGAAGAATGCTATAAGAGATTTAGGGGATGCTGAAAGGCACTTACATTTAGCCTGGGTTATTGTGTCACCGATTGTGGCGCGGATGTAATACTTGCTGTACTCAGGGAGAACCAGGGCCAGGCTGAGAGAGAATAAACAATGAAAACATATTTTGTTCTTGTTGTTTGAATAAAAATCTTTCGTCAAGTCATACAATCCATTCTACTCTGAGGAAACTGAAAATTGAGGTTGTGAACACCCGTCTCCGAGGGATGACGCTAATCACACTAAAATTCATCTGGACTTCATCCATATCCTTACACCTATGCTCATTGCAAAGGTAAAAATTGCCTTTAAGCGCTGCTGAATAGTTCCTGGAAGCAAAAGAAGTGAGATTAGTTAAGTAAAATCTTCATGGAGTAGGTTTATTAACTAATTATTAAAACATTTAGTTGCTTCCGTTAAACATAAACAAAAAATTAAACTAATTTGAATCACTAATATTAATGTTAATGTGAGTTGCTAATAGATTAAAACATTTCAACTATTTGCATGTCATGTACTTAAACTGATTAATTTATTTTATTTCTTATGACTTTCTAAAGACACAAATCTAAAGCACATGACTCATACATAAATATAGGTTAAAAAATGTGTGGCACCATACAAAGCCGACTTTTAAGTACAGGGTGTGATGAAAGTTAAAAACTGTGCATACTTGAAAACTACTATTTTTTTGTTAGTGTTGTGAACATAAGGGAAAAGTGTGCATATATTATGCAGGTAGATAAAATCAGTTGCTTAATATTACCTGTAGTCTGTCAACTTCACTGGTGCAAAGGTGTATGTCCTCTTGGCTTGGTCAATGTAGCGCTTTAAAAGCAATAGGAGTGTCAGAGCACATTTCTAAGCATATGAGCTTTGACATGATTTATTAAATAAAAATAAGATTACCTCATCTTGAGATTTCACTAGTGTAGATATTGTATAATTCCCAGTATGGCCTTCTATCATTTTTTTCCTTATCTGTTGAGAACATAATCCAGAGTAAAAAAAAAGAAACATGAAATTCATTCTTTAGTTATAATTGTTTAAATATAAGTATCATATTTTCCAAACCTCCACTTTGATGTCATTCTCAAGCTCAGCATCCAGAAAGTCCAGTGTTACTGTGTCTTGATATGTAGGATTCTAAGTAGGAATGAAAGCGGTTAGTCAGTGCTTTACACTACAAGAAAGAAAAAGACAAAACAAAAACCTGTTCAGTCAACATCAATAACTGATCTACCATTCCAAAAACAGAGTCGAAGCTTTGTAGTCTTAAAGTGGAAACTAATAATGTTGGTTATCTTTTCATCATCTGTAACCGGTCAACATGACAATGCAATTCAAAAGAAAAGCACATATGTCAAAGTTTAATCAGGAGGATTTTCTTTAGGCAAACAAACATCCTGCAACTAGAAGATCATGATGTCTGTAAAAACAAAAAACAAAGAAAGAACTCAAAAGAGTGCCAGATGATATAAACAGCAAATGAAGCAATTCAGGCAAACGCTTGATGCTAAACCAGCTTGCTAATCTAGGAGCAACTCAGTCTTTTCATAGCATTTCTTACATGCACGACTATAACGTTTCTGCTAAGCCATATTTTAAATTGTCATGGATGCCTCCCACGAAAGCCGCTGTGTTTTGACTTTGAAAGGTCTCTTAAAAATTAAGTTTTCTGCCATATCTATCTCACCAATTCACTGTTGATAAGAAATGAATAGATTTGATTACAATAAATCAGATCTAAACAGTTTTCTTTCGCATATTTATGAAATAGGACCATGAATTAGGGACATGTGATATTGCAGTTTCATGAAGAAACCGTGTAAAATGATGAGAACCTTGTTTTTGTTCCTTTATATCTGCACACATTGATTTGAAACAGTGAGGTCCATATGCACATCCCCTTCAGGAATATTGCAACATAATGAGCTATGAGACCACGGGCTGGTGATTTTAATATACTGAGAAACGGGCAAATTTTTCAAAGAAGAATTTGTTTTTGAGGCAAGAAATAAGATAATTTCTGACTTAGTGAAAAAAGTTATAATTGTTCACATGTCTCGCGGGGCTCTCACAATGTCCCGATCAATCTTGGGAAAAAATGAAAGGAAGTGCCATGGAAATATGTGGTTGTTTCTATGTTTCTTACCGCTGGCTGGAGATTAGGGTGGAGCACCACATATCCATTTGGATCCATAGCAAAGTAGTAGCCATTCGGTCCAAACTAAAGAAAAAAGAGAGAGACATCGTTTGAAAGAAGCACTGGATTGCTCTAGTGCCAAACGCAGCATCCAATACAGTAACACAAGGAGAGGTCGACTGCTTTCTTATCCCAAGTGTTCTCTTACTGTAAAGCGAGGAGTCAGTTTTTTTATATCTTCCAAGGAGACATCAACAGCCATAACCCCCAGGATGAGCTGGTTTTGAGTTTTCTAAGAAGACATAAGGAAAACAGAGAGGAAAGTCAGTGATAGAAAGAGTAACTGTAAGGCCCTCTCATGAATTCTGTTGACTTCCTGGATGAGTCAAGTCCCTCTGCGCATTGTGAATGATTTCAAGGAAATGGTTGCAATAGAAATCTGGACAGTTTCATTCCCCAAAGCTTCATGTGCTGCAATGAGTCACTGACAAGGCATTTCCAGGCTTGCTTTCAGTCACACTGGAGATAGGCCTGAGTCCTTCGAGGTAGACATGTAAACTCATCTTGAAGCACTTAGCTACCGGGTCATTTCTCTCTTTGATCTACAGGACCGATCACTTTTTTGATTTCTGCTGTATGACATGCTAGATTCTCTTCATGTGGATAGCTTTGGGGGGGCATGGAGAGGATATAAGGGAAACCACAAGAGAGCAAAGGATAATAGCTAGGGTGAGACAATACTTGAGTATTCATCTTGTATGTTTACTTTTTGGTCTGGTAAACATTAAGGCATGTTCTAAAACCAAAGGGAGAAATTCTCCCATGAGGTCAAAGTGTGAGATATGTGGTAAATCTGCTCAGAGAGGTAAAATCAGACAAATAAATACAAAAATGTAAATGTATCCAATAAATCACATTTTTTGTGATCTATTGGATCACAAAACTCTACATACTCTACAAAACTCTACATAAATCAAACTGTAAAACGACCTAATGAGACAACAGTCAGAAACTTTCTGGATACACCTGTGATCAAGGGTACATGAGAGAGAAAAACCTGCCATCAGAGATACAAAGCAGTCAGTCTACACATGCTTCACCATATCAGCCTAACTTTTAAAATATTTCTTGCAAAGCAGAACAGCAGACCTTTAGTGTATGGAGGAGGTTCTGGGTACGTAACCACTCCAATACAAACTAAAGAAGAAACAGCAGCAGCAACCAGGGAGGAAAAGGCCAACAATAAACTTTGCTGCTTATCCTGGTGAAATGACTCACGGTAGCAACATCCTACTTGAACAACTTAGTTCCGGAACTAACAAATGTTTCAGATATTGGTGGAAAAAGTTTCCGTGACAGCTTAGAAAGCGTGTCAGCAATCCGTCAGGACGAATTCACAACATGCTGGATTGATCACCCACTCATGTGGATCATGAGCAGAATTTTGACTTTCGTGAGATAGGTTACTTTTACCGCACCAAAGATTTTTTGTTACAATGCAAAAGCTGTTTAAGAAATAAAAAATACAAAAAAAGATTACTGTAACTGTTCCCAAAAATGCATGACTAACTTTTCAAAAGACCATTACAAGTCTGAAGGCTCAATCTCCATCTTCTGTCATGAAATTGCTCACAGTGAATACACTGACCTCGTAACAAAGCACAGAGGTGTGAGTGTCATTATATTAGTGTGTAAAAACTCAGCGTTTTGGGGCTAATGAACTGTATGATGGTACCTTGATTGCATTAAAATACTTTTGTTCCAAGATGACTCACAGCCTAATGATACTTTGCAGAATCACTAATAACAGCAGGATTATCATAAAAAGGATAATTATCAGCGCCACTTTATACTTTATATGAGCAATACTTCTTGACGTGATCCACTTATTACCTTTGAGCCTGTATCAGTCTTGTTGAAGACAGGCAGTGTTCCGGTGATCACAAGGCCAAGCTCCTGAAAGTTTAACAATGCAACATTTCAAATATAACCCTAAAACATGAAATCACCTAATTAATACAATACTTGGCAAATCTATTCAAACAGCTTTAAAACTCATAATTGACGACTTCCATGTCCAGGGTGTGAAATGTTGCTTTAATGATTAGGAAAGGCCAGGGACATCTCTGGTGCGGACATTGTCAATACAAGTTGACAGCATCTGACAATATCCAAGCCCACTTTATCAGTCTTCTTTCTTATCTTAACTGTCACCAAAAAGGAAATCCCCAAACTAATGGTTTCATGCAGTACTCAGAATAAGGTTTATCTATAGAAAACAGCACTAAACTGAAGATGAGTAAATCAGCATGTCATGGGAGGAGAGGTTTGTGTAAGGTTTATCTTAAAAACTTTAAACAACATGAAACAGGTTTTAAGAAATGTTTACTAAATGTCCAATCATTTTATGCAATATTTTTGTTTGACCATCCTTGACCTTTCAGGTTTCATTAAAGTAATTTAAAATAATTTAACACATTTTACCACATTTTTACTGAACACATAACATACCAGGGCGTCTGGGTAAACATTGGTCCATTGAACCTGCTTGGCCCTTCTGTCAGCTCTGACCATGGGACGACCCAAAATGTCCAAGTACTCCTGCCAAGATATGGGCAAGATTTTTCATTTTGATAAAAAATAAAAACAGCTGCACATCAGCTTTTTTACCACAGGAGGGCACAACACACAACTAGTCCAGAGAACCTGGTTGAAATGTAAGGGGACAGATGAGAGGTAGGAGAGACACCAGAGCTTTACACTTTTTGGTTTTATTGTATTTACCTGAGTGTTTATGCGAATGGCGCCTATAGATGGGATCTCATAGTAATAACCTGGGGTAGAAAAATAATTTAGCATGAGAAGAGTGGGTAGGAAGAACATAGGTCTGCTGTAATTACACAATTGATGCAAACTACTTGAGCCAACTTTCCTTTTATATACAAATTAATGAGATTTAAATGTTTAATAATAGAACAGTGTTCACCAGGCTGTGTTGGTCTTTGCTGGATTAAATAACAAAAACTTTTCGTTCATAAGTTTAAATATGTTATTTTCAAAATTCCACATCATGTGTAGCCACAATACTCTTCCAGTTACCTGCGTTTTAATGCCAGAATCATTATTAGAATATACAGAGAAGCAAACAAAAAGGACTTTCCCCTGAAATAAGTGCAATGATGTCAAAGGAAAAAGTTTGGCAGACTTTCACACAGCCTTAAAAACCGTTGCTGAAGATTATTTTGAATAAATTACAGGAACCGAAATTCAAAGAAATGACAGGTGGCTGAAGTTTGATGCTGTTTAGATGAACTCAAACAATTCTATATTCTGTGAACCATCCAAGTTATTCAGCCACTACTGCAGCCTGTTACCTTTATTGGCGCAGGCCATCCACTGTATTGGTCCTTTGTCGTAGCTGTGTTGACCTACTGAAAAGGTAAAGATGCGCACCTGAGGGGAAGAAAAAAAAAAGATCAACTTGACAAACCTAAACAAATATGACAAAACGGAAAGATGTATTAAATATCGAGTCTGAGATTTTAGAGTCATACCGTTCCCTTTGGGTTGAATTTTTTAAAGATCTCCTCTCCCCTCTCTTCTCCTCCATCAGTAAACAGCATTATAATCTTGTTACAGTTGGCCCTTGAGATATTTACCTGGTTGACAATGAAAGAAGATGGGAGTCTAGCTCCATTTAGGCACACAAGTAGCTACAACGATGCTGACTGAAAAAAACAATAAAACAATAAAAAGACTTCATCTTATCTAGAGTGATAGGTCAAACCTCTAGATGAGCGTCTCCAGGGAAAGAAAACAAAAAGCAATATCAGAAACGACCACAAGAGGTCGACAGATACTTGTTGATTTGAACATACTTGGGAATTAAGAAGTCAGATTGTCAAACTATTTTTCAGGCGAAAATAGACTAATTCAAACTTTAAAGTAGATATATATATAAATATATTATATAAGTTTCATTAGGCTTTGGTTTCTCTGTATGCCTCTAGAGAAAAATGGTAAGCCTACCGGGCAACCTCTTTACCTGTGCAAGCTGTTGGAATGCCAGCTCAAAGCCGCTTGTGTAGTTGGTGATACCCTCTGCTTTGATCCTCTGCACACCGTCTTTAAGCACCTTCTTATTCCGGATATTAGCCTGTACCAGGTTTTCGAAGCATGCTGCGGGCTTGGCACTTTTATTGAACTGGAGGGAAAAGGGAAGGAGGGTTGGAGGGAAGTGCAGGGAAGGCACTTTCACATATTTGCTGTTAAATATGTGGCCTTTTTTCCCTTCGTTGCAGAGTCATGCAATATCCCCTAAACATATAGGAAGTGACATTCAAATAAAAAAAAACAATAATTATAGACAAATGCTTGGAGGTAGGCAGATCTGCGAGAACACAAACAAAATGTCATGTGTGACGTGAAATCGATTCAAATCTGCACAGACCGAAGGGAGCTGGCAGAGCAGAAGGAAGGATTGGAAGGAGAACGGGGTAGGGATATGAAAACAGTGGCATGAGGAGGTAAAAAAAAAAAAGAACAGAGAACTTGATTATGGCACAATTAGAGCGTGAAGGCAGAAACAACTATAAGTGTTTAATTACACAGGTCTTCAATACATATGAATTATGCTCAGGTTAGTATTGGTGAATACTTTTTGAGAACAGATGGAACCCTGTCAATATTGTGCACACCCACCTACCCATGTACTAGCAGAACCACACAGACACTAGATCTACAGGGGGATGGATCATGACTCATTAGTTCCCAGCATCTGCTAAGGCCTTGACAGCACCCTCTTCAAACGATGACTACTCTCTAAGCACGCAGTAAAAAAAAAAAAAAAATCTCTGGTTTTATAATTCTATGTGTGTATTCTACAAACTCAGAAATGTTTCATGGCAAAAACAGTTGCAACATCAGTACTTAAAAATATGGACAACTTTAATGATAGTTAGCAAGGTTTGATATTATGAAGATGACCTTGATGGTGAGCCTATGATGTCTAAAAGCATCTTTTTTATGAAATCACAATAAAAAGTTTGCATTCATATAATATGCATAACTATTCACAAAAAAAAACATTCATTTCCAAACACAGACAAGAGTATCTACTCCGATTTAAAGAAGCCCATAAATACAGAGGCTAAGTGGAGAGCTTAGACAGAGACACACTCAACCACCTAAACACACGTCACTACTAACTGCATACAAGACATACACTTGTCACGATAAACTGTTGTACCTTCAAAAACCCTTAAGATGCCTTGGGACCAGTGGCTGAGCCCGGGGCTATTGATGCACTTATTATTCTCCAACCTAATTTCATTACGTTCAAAGACCATTTCACTGAGCTGATTGGAAAGCCCCAAACAAAAACACAAACCATTCATTTATAAAGAAAATTGAATGAAAATAATATTAATGGCTTCGTAAAGTCCAGACGTTTTAGTCCTCTCCACCGAGAGAGAGTAGAGGGAGGACAAGGAAGAAGCAATTAGGATAAAGGGTTTTTTTAGACAGAGTCACTTCCAAGTACGTGACGTATCCTGAGCCAAATAACTGGAGGGCTTTATTCAGTCAATATCAGCTCTGTGTTTAAGCTTCCAAGGTCTGACAGCTTTGAAGCACAACTAACACAAGAGGCGCTTTCACAATGTATGCTTGAGATGAATGACTGAAATACGTATTTCATCAGACTAATCTGTGATCAAAGCCCATTCTCCCAGAAAGTCTCTCTCTTTACTTTTATTGTAATGAATAAACGCTATAAAATATCAACAGTACAAAGTAACAGTATTTCTGCTTTGTACACTTTCTTGAATAGTACTTTAGCTCATAAAAAGCATTAGATTTCTTAAATTACCATGACAAACGAGACTGATGTACACAAAACTTGTTGGTTGCCCAGCAACAGTTTAAAGAGGGGGCCACTTCTGAGTCAAAATTAAGTTAAATATCTTTGGATTTCCGCGCTAATCACTTCTAGAGAAATTGCCTTGAATTAGTCTTGGAGACAACTCATAACTCTTAAACTGAGGGGAACTATTCTTTTTTTTTTGTTGTAGTAATGAATAACATTGCTACTAGGCAGAAAGGTTTCAACTGAACAGGCAGTGGAGCTTTAAATTATGAGGGATGAATATTTTCTCTTTCCTACTGTCAGACCACAGCATTTATATACATTTGTCAAACATCTTTTTTTCAAACTGCGACTTACTTTCGTTCTGTTGGTCATACATGAGATATACTTGAGTACACAGACTATATATGTATTAATTTATGCATCTATGCATATATTTAGCCATAATAAAGATCCATCAGGATATGGAACCACAAATCACTAAAAGGCCTCTCAGTATGTTTAAATCAGACTCAAATCAAGCTACTCACAGAGTCAAGTTACTACTGTTCACACTAAGATTCATGAATGGTTATGACTGGAAAATCAAATCTCCACAATCAGACAGAACTTCCTGGAGAGGCGGGCGCATTATTATCAGTGTGAATACTCACAGACACCACGTTCACAAAGTCATCATCGGCGAGGGTCTCCAGCATCTTGCTGACAGATGTTTTAATGAGCTTGAGGGTGAGACCTGATACACTTCCACTCCTGCAGTATTGAAACAACGATTCAGAACGCAAATCAGGAACCATACAACATGAGTTCCCTAACACTACTGTCATTATGATGAGCATGAAGGGATCAACTCATGTGACTTTATTGTATGCATTGTACATCATGTATATTTAACAAAGTGCATGTCATCACTCAGACCATGAATATAGAAAAGGGCAGAGTTTGCAAGTTTTTATTGTTGTGTTTTCAGTTTTATTCATTATAAAGTAAAATTGTTTTAATGTATTTACATAGATTGGTTAAATCTAAAATGTAGCTATGAAACAAAATAAAAGAACATTTTAAAACTCGCTACTCTTAATATATGTTGCAGTGGTCTATCTCATCAGAGACCAAACTGTCATAAAGTTAAGGCTGCTGAATTCTTTACACATAGTTTTCAAATGTATGAATAACAAAAGGAAGCAACGGGATTAGAAATAATGAGAAGGCCTGGCGCACAGACTCCTTTTTGTTACTCGGTGTTAAATATGAACACAGTGCCACATCACCCTGCAGGATGAGGCCAGTCAGAGCGTTAGCATCAGGACCTCCTGGCGCACAAAGGAAAATACAATCTGACTGTATGAATCATAAGGTCATCACTCACGCATCCACCAGGATCAGCATGTCCTTGGGTGACGCCGCCCCCTGAATATACCTAATGAGTAACATAACGCACACACACACACACACACACACACACACAGGTCGAACACATTTAGTACAGAGGAGGAGAGCTACAAAAGAAATGTAGATATTTATAAGAAATATGTGCATGCACATTGAAAGCATCTCCATATAACACATTGAGACACATTGCTTTTCATATGTCTCCATTATCAGTCTGTCATTTATGTAATACACAAAGAGTTGCACATCTCCATTACATGTAGAGCAATCAAAAGGTGTTGGTGTGTGTTTGAGAACACTTGAGATATCAAGCAAAACTGAATCTTTTTTGAAGACTAATCAAGCTTTTGTCCTGCCTCCCATTGATCTGCACTTTCTTAATCATCTCAGACCTCTGATGTGTTTGTTTGAATGGTTTTCTGTTTGATCCAAAGACCTAGATTTCAAATGCAAGCCTTTAAAGATGGAGGCACAATGAAGTTATGGAGAACCCATAGTTAAATGAATTATTAAGTAGTCTGAGCAATCCATATGGTGCATGTTTGCCTGACACCAGATGCACAACTAAGAATGAGACAGTAAGACGCAAAGCTTAACATTCTCCTCTTCACAGCTTTACTCACCACGGTTGTCTGCGCACATCATAAAGATCAATGTTGACTGAATCTCTTGTAACAATCCAAGGTGAGGCTGGAATTAGACAAGTGTTCATATTAAATGCATTAAAGGAATTAGTTGCCATTTTTTTACGACTATAAAATTATGACTTTAAAAGCACAATAGTCATAATTTTATTCAAAATAAATAAACTGATGAAATTTAGATTTTTTGCAAGGATGATAAAGAAATTACCATGAGAATTGCAACTTTTCAGTTAATTAAGCTTTCATGAATAGCTGATTTATTCATTTAAGCCTAGCTCAAAGAACACATCATGGCTGAACCCTGCTTTCAAATACCTAAAATAGTTCCACTTCTGGTGCAGGATTTTCCAATCAAAATTCAGTTAACAAATGAATTCAATTAGAGGTGGGAATGCAGATAGTTTGGCTGATTTGAAAACCCAGCAGTGAAATGGCTTTTACCCTGCAGTGGTAGTACATTTAACTGCACTTCTGACAGCATTCAAAGTACTTTACAATGCTTCTGACTCACTCACTCATGCACACACGCTTGTAAGGCACTGGCCTGCAGTCAGAAGCATCAGAGTTCACTGTATTGCCAAAAGACATCTTAGCATGTGTACGGTCAAACCCATGATTATTTATCCACCTGCTCTGCCATGTGAACAAAAGCTGTCTTACATATGGTCATGGCCGCAATAATCCCTGTATCTCTACATAGTGATACATGGTCTCAGACAAAGTTGAACTAAAAGGAACACGATGTTCAGGAAAGTCTGCAGGTGTCTGCAGGCATCAGTCCACAATACGATAAGCTACACTGAAGTACCTGGGAAGTACCGAGCCATCCCGGTGGCAGAGCCAAACACCTGCCAGCGCAGGGAAGGATCTTCCTCTTTGTTTTTCCGGAAAAGATCGTCCAAGGCTTCTGTCCAATTTAGCTCATTCAGAATGATGGCGGCTGGAACACACATGCAGACGCAGATAAGTCATGTGTAAAGACAATGTAAAGAAAAACACTTCTGTGCTAAGAGAAAATGTATGTAAAAGGAGTATGGTAAACACACAAACATAAATTTGGCTGATTCAACTTTTGACATTGATTTCTGAGAGGAAACCTTGTTACAGATCTTTGAGGTGACATCAGTTTGCTATTTGGTTGATAACATCTACTGGTTTTCTGTCTATGAAATACATCAAATTAAAGAGCAATAGAGGATTATAGAAACTCAATACACTGTACAGGGGACATAGTGAACTTTGTGGATTCTGGAACTGGAAGGAAATATATCTTAATGCCCTTTTCACCATAAAAACAACCAAATAATACCAGAAAAATAGACTTTCTTTGAATGGCCTTTCTACCTATACTGTGTTCCGCACTGATACTCCATCTGCCTTGTCGCTCCTGCAGCTTTAATATGGCTTTATTCCCATACATCTATGGAGATGGAGTAAAGATGGAGTTCAGGTTAAATGGCTCCCTGTGGCATCATGGAGAAAAGTGGGCACCATGATAAGTGGTGACAATTTGTTCAGACCTGAACTCTGCTTCCTGGGGATGGCTCCTAATGGATTAGTTCTGCTAGTTTCTGTGACATCCCTAACAAGAAGTCTCAGGATAACACGGTCTCCTACGTGAGGAATTGGTACGTTTTGCTTTATACTGAACACTTCAAATTTAGCAGCAACTACAATACATTGGCTTAATGATTTTTACAAAACACAATTTGTGTGAAAAAATAAGAAAGGAAATAAAAGAATAGCCCAGAGTGCATTTCGGCATGTCTTGGAGCAGAATGAGCAAATCCATTACAGTCTCCCTTGGGATTTTAAATGTTGACATCCGTCACACACACCACCACACACTCAAACAAGCACCAGTAATGAGTCCTCAGTTAGGATATTGAGGAGAAGCTTCTGAATACAGGAACAAGTCACAGTTCCAGCGTAAATGAATCCATCTGTGAGGTGATGCGTCTTTTGCTCGAGGTCATCGTGATGAGAGGAAGACATGAGAGGTGCCACTGCAGCTATATAAGATCTCATCAGGATGATTTGTCAGCTGCAGCTTCCTTTCCTCAGGGACTTTAGGTAGCCTTGTGTGTGTGTGTTAGAATGTTAGCATGCATAAGATTGGCAGGGGTCAGTTATTCTGATCAAATCTGGCACATAGTAAGTTTTTTTTATTCAGAATAGGGGCAATATGTACAAATAAACATTAACGTAATATTGGAAATATTTGCATTTTATGTAGCTAGATGGGGTTGAATGATGACAATTTGAGACATAAATTCAAACTGGATTTGATTGGTGAGGGTGTTGGTTGTGGGACATGATGGAGAAGGAAAAAGAAAGCTGTATTCGGCCATTATTTGCAATGCCTTGTGGTTTTTCTGGTAGGCACTTCCTGTACATTTGCGACAAACTAGACAGTGGGCAATGAAGTTGTAAGGACCTACAATCATCATATCAGAAATAGCCTTGTCCTTAATGATCCTTTGCCTTGTAACCAATTGACAATCTGGGGCTGAGAGGTTAAACTGATACATTAGTGAATAAAACTGCTCTACATTTAAATCACTCATTTGTGGCTTTCCATTAAAAACCCACAACTACAGTCTGTTTTAAGAGATGTGACAACTAATCATTTTTTAAAACTGGAGTGTCTTAAATGGTTCTCTGAGGCTGGCTTTCTACATCTCTTTGTTAAAATGCCCATTGTTGAGAGTTTCAGCAAACGTGTATATACTACTAAAACAATGATTTTGTCTCACTAGCTTTCTTATTCAAGATTTTTGTACTTGCAGACAGTTTTTTTTTTACATTTAAAGAATGAACAAATTGACAAGGTGTCTCAAGAACTGATAATGGTACGAATGCAAAGACCTTAAGAATATAAATGTCTGAAAAATGTTTGAATTTGAGCGAGAAAACACAGGAAATAGTTACACAGGGCCCACTAGATTACATGATAAATGCAAGTGCAATGAGAGTAAACAAGGTGATTTCAGGGCATATGCATGTAAAACACCCTCAGATCCAGTGACCTGAGGGAATGCATAAAGAGACAGATATCAGCATACACATAGTTAGGTGAGAAAGGACTTTTAGTATTCTCCACTTCCTGAGGAAAAGAGCAAATGTTCTACCAACATACACTCAGAGACTGTGTCGACTTCCATTCTTTGACATTTTATGGAGGGTGAAATGGGATCAATGGAAATAAGTTGTCTGGGAACCTGCTCACATCCAAATGTGAACTCCATTCAGCTAATCAGAACATCGTGGGAAGGCGTCCAACATGTCTCAAGGACGCAGGTCGCTGGCATAAAGACAGAGAGAAGAGGCTAAGGGAGGGAGGGAAAGACAAAGATGGAGAGAGCACACCTCAGAGTTTGGCGGATAGCTCTGTAAATGAGACAGGATGTGTGTAAAGTGGCACAAGAATGCAAAAAAGAAAAATAAATCCATTTATATGCTGTGAGCTTTGCCAAAGGGGCTTTGACTATAACGCAAACACACACACTCAGTGTCACAGTATCTCAGCACGTCACAGTGTGTGCACGTCTCGGGGTGACAGGTGCCACACAGTGTTGATGCAAACGGGCATCAGACAAGACTCGGCTCTCCTGCCAAGACTGGGACGCTGTCCTCTCATCCCCTCTCATCGCATCCATGCCAGTCTGCCTAATGAGCGAGAAGGCATGCATACGCGGACATAAGATCCATACAAAGGGCGGAAGGTGCATTTGATGTGACACACACACGACGACTCTCACACCCCAAGTTTTTCTTGCTTCTTTTCTTATCTTATTCGAACAAATTTGCACACATGAGGAGACTGATTTGTTACTGGCATGCGTGGACACACACACACACACACACGAGCAGGATAATGAATCCCAGTCTGACCACCCACACCGGATCACCAGGGAAGAATAAATTCCAATCATGCGGGGGAGATGGTAGCACATTTGTCTCCACAGAGCGTACAAATAATATGCTTAATAAAGTGATGCCAGCAATGAAGGAAAAGAGAGTGGGATCACTGAGGTTGGGGGTGAAAGGGCAGGCAATTATGGAGAAAGAGGAACAGGAGCAGAAACTGAAAGGGAGAATGGAAACAGGGCAAACATAACATATCAGTGGTGCAAAATGGACGGGAGAGGAGAAAAGAGGAAGGACAATGAACACTGCAGGGGTGGAAGAGAAAGCCTGTCACAGTTAAAGAGGTGGATGACGAATCTCTCCTTTAGCATTACTGAAAGCCACAAGGATGTCTGCCTTGTCTTCTCAAAGTCCTTTAATCAAGTTACTGCCTCCTCCTGAATGATAAGACACAACGCCGGGGTGTGTCTTACTCTGCTCACATAAGCACACACACACACGCACACGTTAAGGCACTCAGATACACATTGCTATGGCAACCCTAACGGTGCTGGCCAGCCAGGGAATCAGCCTGTTCTTTACAAAATGACGAACAGAAACAACACCTGTAACACTTCATGACAGTATTTATCACTTCTCCACCACAACTTTTCCTGATTCAAATCAGGAGAAAAGGAAAGGGCCTACACAATATGTGTGCACGGTAAAAACGTAGCTGCAGTCAGTAGGTGATCAGCTTGGTAAAAATAGATGATTGGAACTGTAGAAAGCAGCTGGCATGATTCACTATTAAGTAGAAAAAAGAAAATGAAATAGTTCATCAATCAATTTAGATATCGGTATTACACAGGAGGCATTCCTCAAATTGTAAAGATCAGATAGCAGAACTTGTTCACCAGAACACTGGGAAAAGGGGAACAGTGATGACAAGTATAATGCCCCATCTAACAATTGGTCTTCAGATTCTGCGAAAAGTTAAAGAGCAGACATAATGTTGGTAAGTGAAAAAAGAAAGAGAGGAAGAAAGAAAAGAAACAGGGTAGACACCAGTCCAGACCCACCCCATCTCTTTCATCATTGTAACTGCTGCTTGTAAAAATAACTGAGTACATTTGGCGATTTGGCAATGACAAAATGTCTGAACAGTCAGAGGCCTCAGAGGCCCGTCACTGCACATTTATAGTCCAGCTTATGTGGAATGACTCGCTGTATAAGGACATTGAAGTCATGTGACTGACTGTGCTGCATTTAGCAGAACCAACTGTGACCGAGTTCACTGAAATGTAGCCAAATAGTGGTTTATCGCATCCCAAATTCTTAATAGTTAGAAAAACTGTTCAGCCAATCTGGCATTTTGGCCTATTTAGTATGTACCTTACATTATTCCATGGCTGAAAATGTGTTGAGCAGTGTGAGTGGCCAACAAGGAGGTGTTACTATAAAAGGCAGTGCAGATATTGCATTTCTTCTTATTAATATACATCCACTGGTCTCATCCCAGGGCCCCCTGTCTGTTGTCTCGGCTCTTCCTATTCTGAGACTGTGTTTGTATTTATTCATTTGTTGTGAAATCAATGCAAAGTGTGCTTGTATTTGTGAATAAGACTATCCTCAAGGAAGGACACGACTTACACTGTTTCTTTGGGTTTTGCTGAATGCGTGTGTTTGTTTGTTCGGATATTTCTACACCCCACTTCTGTTAGAGAGACCTTGCATTGCACTCATCAGTCCCCTAAAATTAGAGTCCAACAACCCAAGGACATGTTTGTGTGCTTTATGCCTGTGTGTGTGTTCACGACTGTATTTACATAAGCATACCCTGTTTGGCTTTTCAGCCTGTGGTCATTCAATACATTTCTGATTCCAGGTCAGAAATGTGTGTGATGAAATATCAAGTCATCAAAAATGACACTCACTGATTCAGGTAACAAAAGCAACAGCATTTCACACACTCAAACAGGCCTGACCTCCACGAGTGGCACTTAATAGCAGGTTGAGAGTCAACTTTAGAATTAGAAACCCTTCTTTTCCTACCTTACTAACAGGCCACATCTGTATCTTATTTAGCCCAATTATACTTTGATCTCTGTCTTAGATTAACATTTGACAATATCATAAATACTAGAAGCTGAATTGCAATACCAATATTTTGTTAAAGCTGTGCAAAACACTGTATTTGACCTAATGGAAAAACAAAAAAACGGCAGCGCAGACATTGTTTAACAGTAACTAAGCAATTCCATTAAAGAACAAAGCATCTGCAATTATGCAAGAATTACTGTTGGAAGGGGTGATATTTTCTGGAACTGTCAAGAGGCTGGTGGAGCCAGAGACAGAAAGGAGCAGCTGGAGATCAGGATAAAGAGGGGGCTTGAGGGTGCTGACCATTGGGTAGTTGGGTTTTGGGCTATAAATAGAATAGAATGGTTTAGCCTGGGTGAAGGAGTGTCTACATGGCAGACGTTGTTGGTGTGCCCTGCTTCACATCATGAAAGTGGACTGTAGATAGCAAAAATAGTGATGACATGGGTAGAAACAGAATGCAAGTAGGTGAGTGGAGTTTCCTGTGTACAATCAGGCATACATTTTACAGTGAAATCTTAACCAATTGGTCACATAATAAAATAATGATATTGTTATGAAATTAATAATTGAACTGATGTAATGGGAAAAAGCAAATGAACAGTGGCTTCAGATATAGAGTAATATCATGTTCTTTTGTCTTAATTTCTTACTAGTTTGCATAATTTACAGTGAGAAAAGACACATTATGAAACATGAGAGCTTATGATTGTTTTTTAAACAGTGCGTCTATGAATTTCTACTCACAGCCTTCAAATATATCAGTGGGAATATGGACCGCCGTGCTGTTGTAGGAGACAAGTCGTTTGAAGTCTGGGTCAAATTCAAAATCGTCTGGAATGACTCTTTTCGTCTCGTCCTCTTCAACTTTTACATTACTTGATTTTGTCAGATTTACCTATACAAAAGAAAAATAGCCTTTAAAAATCAGAATCTCTCTTTTTAATTAATCATAAAAAAAATGTATAGGCATACTTTATAGGCATACACATATAGAAAGGGTTAATAACCCTCTGGTTGAAAATGGCTCTACACTAAATAAAAATCTTTTGACTTAACAACAAGGCAATATACTGCAAGAAATGTCATCACTGTCATAATATACAGAGATTAAATTAGCAACAGAAAGAGAGACAGCTGTCAGTCAAACTCAGAATGACATAAGCATCCATTGAGTTTGTTGTTCTCTTCCAGTGGGACAGCAATGATAAATTAGATGCTGATTCATTTTGATGAGAGCCGACAGACGATGTTTGTGTCTCACACCGACTTGTTTTGAGCATGTGCCCAAAAACATGCACTGACATCCACTAAAAAAGAAAGAAACTAAGACTGTCCATAAAACATAATGCAAGTTCAGTTGCATTATGTTGTAATAGTTGGTAATAATGTCTGTATACATGGATGAAAGATTTTTGGTTAAGCTTATTAAAAGATTAGGTTGGTATGGTGGTACTTACTCCATCTTTGGCATTGTAGTATTTAATACCGCTGGCCTGCAAAAGATCAAAGCAAAATCAGAAAAAGTCAGTGTCATTAAATTAATAAATAGGACAAAGACTAAGAGGGTATGTCTTCTGCTGCTGTGGTTAAAACGTTTACATGTTAGTATTACCAAAAACGGCATAGTAGACGGGTGAAGTGACCTGTATTCACATCCAACAGACATGTCCTGCCATAATGATGCACTCCAGAATGCACATTTACAGTAATGCTAACAGGTGAGCCAATAAACAACTGTACTACATAAGAATCACACTCAAACTCAAGTATATATATATATAATCGTTCAATTAATGAATAATTTAATCACATTTCTTTTTTACAATATCAATTATTTTATTTGGTGTACAGAAATTAAAGTAATTGGAACCAACCTCTGGATGTATGTTGGGTGCATTTATTTGGAGCAAATACCGTACAGTACATAGGATAGCTGGCATTAACGAGACAGCCAAGCATTTCACGCAGGGATGCCCTGAAGCCCCAGAGCTGGTTCACCAAATTATTTCTGGAGCAGCACATCAACAGGACAGCAAATGCTTCCAATACGTCTACCCTTATGTTAGCATAAATGATTTAAATCAGCTCCAAAGAGGGGACGTAGCTGAGTGAACTTAGTCAAGCATTAGCATCTGATCACACCTGTAGCATTAGGTTTGCATCAGGAAACTGCATCATGATCTATTCTGCCAGGTCAGGTAATGGGAGTGCATGTTCCAAGAGTCCAATGTCCAATGTTCAGCAAACTGCAAACATACAAAAAACCTTCCTATAACCCAATCTCATGTTCTGTAAAATAGTAACAGAACTGGAGGATGGTTTTTTGTGGGGGGCTCTTAATCTAACGGTCACATAATTTATATAGCTAAACTCAACAGGGCCAGGTGCTCAATAGCCATGGCCCGATTATCAAAGGGGACATAATGGACACATCTGCTCAAACACACATGCAGACAATGCAGCATGCCAACCATTCCTTTATACATTTAAAATTTACCATCCTAACATATCAATTTAGGTGGACTCCATGTGTATGTACAGAAAAGTTTAATTTAAAGTTAAAAGTTTATGTATATGCTATGTTTCCGTTACAGCACAGTTTAAAGTTAAGATTTTTGTAAAAACCGTTTGGCATTAAAATATATTTATGCAACACAAATTGTTTCAACCTGTTAATAAAAACAAAATACTGTTGAGTTTCTCCGTTGGACAATATTGATTGCTATTGTATTTTTGGGTTATACAAAAAAGAAGTTTCACACTGCACAGTCCAAGAAAATTGGCATTTTGGCAAAGCAAATGCGTTTAATCATTGAGTGAATTAACATAGTGAGATTAGTTTCTAACTAAATGTATACTATCCATAGATTCATCATATGAAATGCTTTATCCTTTGTTATTTCTTGAAAAAACCGAAAGCATACATGGTATAAAACAATGTTAAAAGACATCTCATATCGTGCAATGGTCGCTCACTCACATTACTGTTGTCCATCCACTTATGTTCCTTCTGTAACCTTTCTGCTGCTGCTGCCAGCCTCTGAAAGAAAGAAGAGCAGTAGAGGATAGAAATTTAGATATCAAGGATTTTATTAAATAAATAAATATCACAATATATTATGCCCCTGTAATAGATTTGACAGATTTAAGGAAAAAAAGGATCTCTGTAAATTGATCTAACTGAGCAGGATAAATGGATAACTAAATATAGGAGTATAGGAGTATAAGTTACGAGAGATGACCCAAAGGCAGGATAGTGGTGATGCATGAGCACCATATTCAAGGGAAAATACCTCATTTCCTTTTGGTGCCTGAAGGCATGAATTAGGATCAGTGGTGACACAGTGAACTAAAATTAGACACCCACCTATTCAATCTTTTCCCAGATTCTAATGACTGGGTTAATGGGTTTATAATAGGCCTAGTTTTTAATCTGTACCTGATCCAGAAATGCACTGTACTATTAATTTCCCTGGGGAAATATCATATCAAGCTCTTCCTCCTTATGTCAGCAGCACTAAGAGTTTCAAGTCACACAGGGAGACCCATATGATGGGTGCAAATGAATAAAATAATTCATGAAATGAGATGAGGGGATTGATTAAATCAATCATTGAAATATTTCTTTTCCATAAAAAAGACGAGAATCAAAGAACAAGAACATGGTGCCATTGGGATCAGATTGCTTGGATATCAGTTGCCTTGTTTAAACAGTTCAAGTGAAGATGTTGCCCATAACTTTTTTATTTTCTAACTCAAGATAGCAGCAGGAATGCATTTTAATCCTCGAGCTAAGTCAAGAGGCCAGCTGATACTGTTCAGAATGAGTATATACAGTATGTGGAATATATGAAAGTGTTTCTATTCATCATCAGTTACCATGTTACATTAAAAAAAAAACGTTCCAGATCCAAACAGACAAATGGGCACTTATAAACTAAGAAGATGAATACATACTAACTATGATAGCACTATTTTGCATGGTAAGAGTGGGTGTGGTGGCTGTTGGCTAAACTGACTGTAAGGTGCCAGTTTCAAATACAAAATCTGTGGTCCCTTGCTGTAGTGCATGGGTGAAAAATCTTTACATCCCCATCGAACAGACCCATCATTACAGCTCTTTTTCCATAAATGTATATTTAAAAAAAAAATTTTTTATGGTGGATTTTAGGAAGCTTTTTTTTTTTTTTTTTTCCTGATTGTCTAAATACATCCATCCATCCATCCATTATCAATACCGCTTATTCCCTCATGGGGTCGCGGGTGTCTAAATACATTTTGGCTTTATTCTTTTTTTGGCCAATGAAAGCCAAAAGCACAGATGTACCACTCTGTAGGTGGGAGCTGCAGGTAATTATAAAGATTAACGATACAGCCTTTGTAATGTCTTTTTACCCGCATCTTGACCTCTTGTTTATTTTGGCACAACACCTCTGAAATAAAGATTTCTCTTTTGTCTTTAAATGAGCTTCTCTGATTGCATTTTGATGGGAAACAACTGTGATGGGACTGCCCTTGTACACACCTCCACACTATCACAGCCCCTCTACGGGTGGGTTATTGGATATAGTTGACAGTTTAAATAATGCAAAACACAGCGCTTTGAGTGCATACAATGTGTACTTTATATAGTGCTCAGCCAAAATCATGAGCTTGTCTTAAGTTTTTAAAATGTATCCAAGAAACCAAACTTACTTGCAATTTTTGTAAGTGGTCTAAAGTAATAGTTCTTCTGGCTCTCTGAATTTCATACACAGCATATTCTTTACACCCATTTACCCATACATAACTTCAGATGACTTCAAGAACTGTTTTAAATAGCATAGTGAGAACCAAGTAAAAAGATCAACGGAATTTCCACTTTTTCAGCTGCGTCAAAAAGGCTAACACAGCTATACGGCAATTTCTTATCAAAGTTTATTAGCAAAGAGCCATTGACTGGAGTGGAGGACAAAGAAGTATTTGTAGGCCCAAAGCAAATGAACAGAGCCAAACAATAATGTTGTTAAGAAATAGAAAATACCATAAATCCAGCAAAGACATTGATAAGAAGGGGCCTGTGACATGAATCTGGCATTTAATTTTCTCCAGCTATTGCCTACTGAAGCTTCATAAGTTTCTATAGAATTTTCTTAATAATTATTTACATCTTAATTGAGTTGTTTTCTTTGCTAATTTGGTCATTTAACCTAATTTCCGTGCCGGTGAAATATTATAAATGACCTGAACAACCTGTATTTGATTGCTCTCAGCCAATATTTAAACCAGACAGGCTGCATTTAGAGCACCTGTACACACATATGCAAACCAGAAGAACGGGCACTTGTTAATGAGGAGCTCAGTGGGGGAACAAGAGGGTGAGGGGTCAAAGGTCAGCAGCTGTTATAGCTACTTCCACTTTATATCTTCGCTTTTTTGTAGATTCTACAGTATCAAAGCTTGGAGCTTGCAACACCTTTAAGTGTTTCAAGTTTCCTTAGACGTTTGCACCTGGAAGTGCCACATGAGTACATTTTATATCAATTATTCAGTTAAGTAATGAGTTTAGTGTAACACCTTAAGGTCATAAATATCTGTGCAAAATATGTCCCTGATAAGGAGATGAAAGAGCAATTTATGACGTTAGCAAGCTGCTAAAAAATGTCTAATGTTAGCATATTACTGAGTTATAAAACGGATAATGATGCTTAGTTTATTCTGTCTCGCTTCGTGCTGCAGATGATAGAGTCCCTGTAGCTGGTTAGCCAGTCTCAAGTCTAACATTTCTAATTGAGTCCCCCTGCACTTTGTTTTATAGCAAAACTATTAAATGTGCATTCAGCAGAATGAACATGTTTTTTTTAGCTTTTTGTTGCGGCTATATATTACTATGTGCATTTGATTTTTTAATGGGAATTTAAGTAAAAATCTAATCTGAATCTAGTCCATTTTCTAAATCAATCATTATTTATCAAAATGCATATATAACTGGTATTTTAAAAATGGTCTGTTGACTAGTAAGTATTATGAACCCTGAACCTTTCGATATGTACAAATATATAGGAGCAGTAATCAGGAAGTGCTATTAGTATGTGAAAAATCATGAATAAGTTGTTAATTTTAAGTCGTTAATTTTAAGTTGGAGTGTCTGAAAGGACAGATGGAGGGAGTTGTCACAAAACAAAAAAGGTGTCAATGTATGTGCATAGAATCACAGGTTGTGTCTTACTTGCATGCAGAGTACACACTTCTCCCCTACAATCTTTGCCTGTCAGTTAAAACCTCGGAGAACAGTTCGATACCGTGATTTTCTGTGTAATCACACACACAAACTCACTTTTTTCTCACAGACACTACTGACAGCCTGATTGGAGCATGAAGTCCTGCTATAGCAGAACACACACACACACACGCACACCTGCCATCCCATTGATGTGTGGGGAGGCACAGTAGGCCAGAGGAAACATGAGCATCTGCTGTTGTGACTGGCAGCACTTTAGTCAGAGCTACCCTGCTCAGCCTACAGGGAGTCAGGAGGAGGGTACTGAGAGAAAAAAGAGAGAAATGGAGACCCGCATTTTCCCAAATTACACAAACACACATTCAGAAGACAAACAACGGTGTAGTAAGTACATGCATGTTGGCGATTTCACAAAGGACTCTGATCTTAAAGTGACAAAATAACTTCCATCAACATGTCGACTTCACCGAGTAAATTGTCACAGAAAATAGATAATTTCATGCCACAGTGCTGTCTACTGGTTTGACAGCTCATCTCTCCTAAAAACAACCCATCAGTGCCGTTTGTGTGCACCCAGCTGCAAACAAGTCCCAATTACAGCTGTACCCAGCTGTGGTCTTTACAAGGCAGCAGCATACACCTAAACCAACACAGTACATGTCCATGTACTGTCACTTTCCATTTGGCCTTTTTAAAATCCTTTTATCCGGATCAGATATTAGGGGGGAGAGTAGTATTTCTTTGGGGTCATCTTTACATTTAGAAGAACAGAAACAACTTTTTTAGCAACAAGTGAAAGCAACTTTTGTTTTTTCATCCCATTATTAAAAAACAAAAAAAAATGTAACATGCAAAAAAAACAGAATAGCATTCTACTGGACAAAGCAAAGTATTGTTTAGCCTCAGGCAAGTTGCACAGCTGCTATCCCTTCTACCTGTGAGGGATGGAGTGTAACAGCAGGTGCATGGTGGGAGGCTCTAATGAGCCAGACATCAATTGTACAATCCCTTTTTGTATGCATACTGTACATCTGATAAGTTTCATGTAGGAAAACAGAGATGACAAACATAAAGCTAGAGCAGCGGAGACACGGAGAGCGACAGCTGGGCCGACAAAAGCAGTTAAACACACACACACACACACACACACACACACACACACAAACAAAAACACAGCACAAAGAGATTAATAATGAGCCACTGTTAGAGCAGGCACCATCACACACTTACAAACTCTCTATCTAATTAACTGAACTTTTTATACAAAGATGTAAAATATTAACATGCCTCTGTTTATACAGGCATTGCTTTGCATAGTTGTTGCTGTTTTTTCTTGCAGCAGAGCTGAAGAAACCTCTGACTGAACGCATACACAGTAATTGTTTGATCGCCATATTGAAAGTGCACAGCATCGCCAATTAAGTTTGAGAAGCTTTCGCAACATTCTTCTTTGCAGATTCAGCTATTGAGCCAACTTTATTTCAGCTTGAGCCACCAGATGGCTGAGGATTGTGAAAAAAGAAGATTGCACTGTTTAGACTTGTGGAAGATATGAAATAACTTTCAAATGCAATGTCCTGTTCAGGTTTCAAAGGGGCATATTTGAGAGATATTTAGAAGATTTTAATTATAGTCTTCCTAAAGCATTCAAGAGTGAAACAAACATTAGATTAGTTGTATTTGTTCATTACTATGTTTGAAACGTTTTCGTTTTCTACATTTTCAACATCCATGTTTACATATCAGTAAAAAAAGGGCAGAAATGGCAAAAGCAACAATAGGCAATAGTTTAATTTCCTAGTTTGTGATAAATACATCCA